TGCATACCCTGTAATTCCATAGAACAAACAGCAAGTCTAATTGCTTATACCCTATCCAAGATAAGTCATATCAACAAACATGTCAGCTTGTTAAGTTTCAAGAAAAAGAACTGGGAGAATGTGCGCGCATTGTGCTTAATGACAAATTTTCACAAGCCACAAAACAGAGACAGAGACAGAGAAAGAGACTGAGGCAGAGGCAGAGAAAGAGACTGAGGCAGACGCACAGACAGGGCAATGCATCATAAAAGCCGTTGTTGTTGTGGCAACTGGAGGCGGTAATCATGCATGGGGCATAAAAGCAGCGACGACGAGGTTACTGTGTCAATTGAACTCCAGCAGCGCCGTTGGCACAGCAACAACAGCAACTACAACAACAACAACAACGAGGAGAACCGCAAAGCATTTTAGATGCAGACAGCGAAATGCGAGATTCGCATTTGTGACGCCCAAGAGGCTGCCGCAATTGAACAAATTGCACGCCCACCGCCAACCCCTCTCCCTCTCTCTCTCTCTCTTCGTTGTCTGTCTCGCTCCCTTCATGCTGATCGTGCGTTGTGGGCGTGCGCGTCTGACATTTGTGCCGGCTGCCTATCGGGCAGCAAAATCAGCAACGTTTAAGTCTCAATCTGGTCCGATTCGCGGCGCAGGCGCAGCTCCTCCCGCAGGCGTTGCCTTGTAGTTTGTAGTTGCATCTGCGATAAAGACAAAATTAAATCATTTTGCCACACGCAAATGCTGCCTCAGTATCTGTGTGTGTGTGTGTGTGTGTGGCTACTGCACCCATTGTTGCATAAATTTCATTCATAATTAACAAGATGCGCAGCTCGCGTTGCAAGCTGGCAAACAAAATAATTGCCACAATTTGTGTGGCAGCCACAAATTGAGCTGTCTCGTTGTCTCTCCCCCTCTCTCTAACTCTTGGCATAGACAGCGCAGCGCAGGCTAATTCCGACGATTAATTTGATAAGCTAATAGCTTAAGTCTCAACTACGGGCGACAGCTAAACAAACCTGCAGCAAATTGATTGAACGGCAGATTACTCCAGAAGTGGTTGCCGCCACTCGCTGCGCCAACTGCTGCAAATTGGCTGGCAACAAATTGTTCCAGTTGTTAGCCTCGTTTGCCACATAGATCGATCTATTGCCGCTTTGGCTGGCCTTTAAGCCGTTAAGCCCACGCAGCCGGTCTCGCCATTCCCACTTAACGCTCTGGCACGATCTTTGCGCCCGCTGGAGAAGGGCAGGTCAATGCTGTCGTCGGTCGTCCATAGCAGGCTAATACCGTATCTTTGGCACGCCCAAGTCATTTGGAGCTGTGCTGTAACAGGTCTTTCTCTAACGGACTTGCAAGAGATTCCACTACAGGTGCTTGAACTTGAGCCATGGAACGTAGCTAGCTGGTTCCATCAAGAAATCTCATTTGCAAACTGTTCCATCTTGATTCGAGCACTACTTTTATTTGTAAATGTAGCTAACTTTTCTTGCCGAGTTTCCTTTGTTGGAAAAATGACTTCAGTAAACATTGCCAGCGCTTCACTCTGCTCAAAACATTTGCGAATTTCAATTTATTATGCTCATTGTCAGTCTCTCAGTAGTTTGCACTCTCCCGCTGCAGCTGACGTCCTCATTCAATTGAATTCCCTCACTTCCTCCATACTCGTCCGGTTGAGAATATTTCGCTTGTGCAATACTTGCCATGAAAATCGCATAGAAAGACACTTGGCTTCTGTCTATTTCCAGCAGCTCGCTTCATAAATAATACATGAAATAATCTCCGTTCATTCCCATGCACACTTCACTGAATGCAAAATGCCATTTTTGAACCATTGAAGGCAACACACATAAAAATGCAATGCATGCAATTTGTTAATGCCGCAGCAACGTCTGCAAAATGTGCCCCAAAAATAAGTGCAGCAACAACAATTGGGCCACAATACAAAGTCCAATTGGACTTGTGGACCGAGACGGACAATCGGACCTGGAGCGAGTGCAGAGCCAAAATGGCAGCCACTCGAAGATGTCATTGAGTCTGACATGCGTATCGCCCCGCCCTGCCTCAACCCTCCCTTCCCCTGCTCTGCCAAACAGACCGCCTGCATTTACTCACTGTTGTTGTTGTTGTTTTTTCAGTAGCTGCAGCATCTTTTTTTCATATTTATCTTATTTGCTTATTTGACTTTTTTGCTGATTTAACGTTGGACTTCCCCCTCGCCCCAGCTACTTCCATACTCCAACCGCACCTTCACATCGACACGTTTATTTTGTTTGTATTGCTTTGTTTGTTTGCTTTGTGATACGCCTGTAGCTGGTATATGTGAAATATGGGATACGTTCGACTTGGGTTACCCACATTCTTGTTGCTGTTGTCGTTCGGCCCCTCTTCGTTGGAGTCTTCTCCTGCTTCTGGTTTTGCTGTCGCTGGGATATTTCTGTTTTGCCTATGCAAGTGAAATTCGTAATTATGCTGCCAAACGTTCATTTTGAGCACAAATTTTGCATTTCATTTGGTACATTTGGTTCCGTGACATTCCTGAAGTATCGGGCCACATAAATCGAGAACACTAAAAGCAAAGCAAAAACAAAAGCAAAAAACGGAACACAAAACAAGCAGCAAAAAAATGGAATGAGAGAAAATATCTCTGCATAAATTTGCGGGCTGCTTGGAAAGTTGATTTGAATTTAAATTTCAATCGAATATTTTGCTCTGCCCTGCATTCATATTGTTTCCTACCCATTTTGATATACACTTGCTAGAAGGTAGCATGATTTTGTGAAGCATAAGACTAAATGGTTTACTTAATATTTTATATACTCCATAGTTAATATACATTTTGACTTGCTGCATACATATGTATATATTTTTAAATAATTCTTTACTAATTCTAGTAATCCTCATTAAATGCCACATATACCCCGTTGTAGAGTATATATGATTTCCACGCTGTCATAGACAGCTGTTGCCTCTTGATTTTTATTCATATTCCGTTTTTGGGGCCAAAGCAACGAAATTGAATTAATAAATGTGCTCTCAAGTCAGTCAGTGGTTCGCACCACTCCCTCTACTCACCCACATCATACGGCATTTCTCCAATATTCCGAATTTAGTTTAATTGCCATTTTGCATACATATGAGAAATGCTTAAAGTAGTTTACGGAACGCAATTGATAAATTATTCCATTTTATTTGACATAATTGCCTGAGTTTCTTATTTTTTTTTCTTTTTGTTTAACAAATTTCAATTATTGCGCCCAAGCTCGCCCAATTTTAGGCAATTAAGATCAATAAAATACCAGTACTCTGGGCGTTGATACCTGTGCCATTTTGGGTGGGCGTGGTCGTGGTCGGACGTCATACTACAGGGAGCAGAATTGTGAAATCGAAAGTCCCCAGACACCAAACAATTGTCAGCTAATGTGGCGCCTGTCTGTTGCCATAATTGGAGCAAAGTTTTCGCGGAAAATGAAACGTCAATTCGATTTGCATAAACGTGCCGCAAATAGACTCCCATAACAAATAACGGCGGCAAACTGAAATCAACCGTACCAAACTGCAGCCAAATGTCTGTGCGAAAAGTTGCGGAGCAAACTTTGTTGCAGATGTTGCAACAACAGCGGGCAAAAGCCCCAACTAACGCCAAATGGAAGATGCGGAAAAGCCCAGCAACGCGAGCAGCACAGTGGAAGAGATGTTGTATGGGAGAAAGTAAAAATTAAAGATATTTCAGTTTTCTGTATGCTCTACAGATGCTGGAAGTAGACAATTAAACTCCAAAATAAAATCCATTAAAAGTCAACTCAGCTGACTAATCCCAAATTTTAATTTAAAAAATCCGACAATAATGTGCTGCACACAGTGGAACAGAAATTCATTTTATTAACTGAACATAAACATTCTATTTAACAACATTCTATGATAAACATTTTATATAATTTATGAACTATAAACTTGCTAATTTGACTGTGATTATATCATTAAAGATATTCATAAATCTGGTTTATTTTGGTTGTCAGTTAAAGATCTGGATTCATCGCAGTCTCAGCCGATTTATCTAATAAATAATTCATAAGCTGTGCAAAGGCTCTATCTAACTTAGTTTATTATGCAGGCAGTCTTAAAATAACTCAATTAGTTGCTGATTAAATAGTTTTGCAGCCCAGCGTCAGCTGCTGCCGTGGAACTCCACTATTTTTAGCCAATGTGTGCACAGGGGAAAAATCTTTAAGCTGCTTACAACGAACTTTATATTTTCTTGCCATCCAATATACTCCAGCTGAGCACATTCCGATAGTTTGGCTGGAAAGCAGCTTAAGCTTTGCAGCATTGCAGCTGTCGCTTGATTTTATGCTATATTTATTTCTTTTCCAGGAAAAAAAAAAAACAAAAACATTTTGAAATAATTTAATTTAACAGGGGAGTCCTTCAGTTATTCAGTTCACCTGTCGCTGCTCGCTGTTCGCTGTTCACCTAAGCAACAAGAGATAAACTTGTTTACAACTAAAAATAACTATTATTACAAGTTGTTGCTATTGTTGTCGTTTCGTACAATTTGACAGGTTGACAGCAAGCGCGCGCGAGCTTTTGTTGTCCAATTGGAGACGGTTTCCGTGCTCACAGTGGTCTGTGCAGCATTCACAATAGTCACAGTGCGGTCACAGTGAGCTCGCTGACAATGTTAACAGCATTTATTACGCAATTTGCGAGTATTTAATGTTACTGTTGTTGTTATTGTTGTTTGCAATTGTCATTAACCATTAGGCGATCAGCTGGTTAAAAGTCGTGCAGTTGAATAAATGTCAGTTAGTGCTGATTTTTTCGAAATTGGTTTCGGTAATTGACATCCATAATGAGTCGACTCATTACAGCCTACACTGAGCGAAAATTGTCAAGCGATCAGCTGAAACTCTTATCTTTTCCTATAACTAAACTAAGCTTATATTCTACTCTTATACTGTACCTTACACTCTTATACTACAACAATGCACGTTTTCTCTTTGCAGCACAACAGTTCAAATCCAATTTTCCTGACTTGGCGAAATCGTCTATGCTAAAGGTAAATTTATTGCAATTATTAATATTACTTACAATTTTTGTCTCTGGTAACTTTGAGCGTAAAAACCAATTTTATAAAGTGCATCGCAATGACGGCGCCTGCATTAATTCTAATAAATATTTTGTGGCCAGCCATATGTGCTGCATATAAAAGTCGCAAAGTTCAATCTCTGGCGCACTCGTTCTCCCCTCGCCTCTGCTCCTCCCCCCTGAACGATTCCTTTCCTGCAGCAGCATCCACAATTGTGGCTTGACTTTACCTTGGCTGCTTCGTCCAATCAATATTTACCGCACACATTTGGCGGAATGCGAGGCGGCGATTTGCGTTTTCATCTTTCGCTTTTAACAGTTTTCCATTTTCATTTGCACTTATTTATATTTATTTTCGTCGGCGTTTTGCCCGCAGCAGCGCCGCATTTATTTATGTTTATTTTTAACACTATCGTCACGTGCAATACGTTAAGCGCCGCTTGCGGCATACGCTCACAATGGCCCCTATCGAAACCGCAGCAACAACAACAACAATAATAACAACTATGCCAGCGAGTGAGTGTTAAGGCAACGGGGCTGCCCCATTAATAAAAGTGGGCGTGTTATGGCCTCAGCCATATAATTAAGTAAAGTGCTCGGCATTGCAGCAGAAATATATGATATCCTAGATGGAAGTGCTTTGCAGCCCTGAATACTCATTTTGGTCTCTGTGATTAATCGAGGTGGCTATCGATAGTGATTGGTAATAGCTTTTTAAATGTCGATCACTTTTCAACACTTGACACAGTTACTCATTTAAATCTACATTTAGTTGCATCATGACTGCAGTTCAACACACCCGCTTGACACACTTAGATGGTTAGCAGGGTATGCCAAAACACATTCAATATTCATTCACATTCGCATGACAATTGCATTTATCGGCGTCCCTCTCTCTCCCTCTCTCTCTCTCTCTTATTCGCCGCACGTGGTGTATGCGTAATAATGGCCAATATAACCATTTGTGGCTTTAAATTTTCAACAACGATAAGCCACAACAGATTGTTGAATGCCACACAAATATTGATTTAAGCGAGCTGCTATCAAATATTTATTCAATTTGCGACACGCAAAGTCACAACTTTTACAATATGAAATGCAACCACTTGGTCGACCATTCGCTGGTGGCTGAGCGAATGAAGAGTCTCTCACGTGGCCCACTCAGCGCTCTGATAAGACGCAGCTGACTCACGCGGCGGCTGCACAATCACACCCACAGATCTTTAAGGCAAATTGTCTTAGTCACCTTTTATAAACGTAATTTGCATGTAATTTGCTGTCATGTTTTTTCGCGCTGTCTTTATTTATTTTTTGTTTAACCAAATTTGTCGCTTGAAGCGGCAATTTGATGGTTTTGGATTTAGATTTAGATTTAGAATTTAAATTTGATTTTGATTTTTATGAGTGGCGTTTGATTTGTGAGACGTGATGTTTGCCTTGACATTTAAGTCAGCAAATTTAAATACATAGATGTTTGCATGCCCAAATGGGGCGCTTATTAATCAGCCACGCCCACACGAATCACACACACACGGTGAAGTTGGTCAATAAATTGACGCAGACTTTGCATAGCCATTGGGTCAACAGCGAAGCTGCAGGATAAACATCGACTTTGCGCAAGGACGATAAATTACAGCTAAACGGAAATAATTTTCATGCATGTGCGGAAAAAAGTAAGGAAAGGAGAATTGTAAATGGAAATGAAACTCTGTGTGTGTGTGTGTGTGTGTGTGTGTGTGTGTTTGCGTCTGGCAAGCGGATTTTCAACATGTTGGCAAACAATTTGACGGCATGATTGAGTACGCAATGTACGCTGCCACAAGGATCGCAGGCAAATCTCCTCCATATATCTGATGCCTGATGCCTAGCAAAATGCTTGTCATTATGATAGCAGCAGCCACATAAGAATGCCCCACAATGCGGCTGCAACTAGTTCAGTTTAGCATCGAGCAAACTGTTGAGACTGCAAATGATGTTGGCATGAGGGCTGACGCAGTAATATGTCTGGCCATTTGGCTCCAGCTCTGGCTCTGGCTCTGGCACCGGCTCCGGCTCTGGTTATGTCACTTGATCTTGGGGCATGCAAACAAGATAAAACTTTTGATTTATTGTTGACATGCACAACAACAGGCTGTCGGCCAGAGCAGAGTTTATCGAGCAGCAAAACTAGCTACACAAAATGCGTCCCACACGCACACAACCGAATGAGCTAGGAGCTGGCCAGGACCTGGACCCTGGTCAGCTGTGTAAAAAGTGTCAACTGTGTCACAGACACGCGCCACAAATTTGCTTTCAGCCCCAAAGCGGCAAACAAACAAAATATTTCTGTTGTCCATTGTCCATGGCTCAGCATATTTTTCCTCGGCTTAAAGAAAACTGGGAAAGCTAACTTTTTTTTTCTCACTGCGTGTTTGCGTGTCATTAATTTGTACAAATATTTGCACAGAAATTAAAAAAGAAACCCCAACAAAAACTGTTCTTTTCAGTGCTGCAAATAATTAATTGAAAATATATTTCAACAATTCAAGCGACATTTTGATGTCAATGCAAACAGAAAGGCCATAAAAAATTCATTAAAAAAAATAACTACAAAAACAAAAACAACAAATATAAACCTAGACTGTAATTGAAACGAAGTTCGAGGCAAAAACAACAAAAAAAACACACATATTTACATCATCGGCGGCGCTAGGCGAATGGAGATTAAAGAGGCTGGGGCTACAGTTCGACATAAATTCAAATGTATGACATCACTTGAGAGCAAATTCTTGTTGTTTTTATAGCTGCTTCTCTCATAATATTTGCTGTAGATTTTGTTGCCTGTTGGCTGTAGTTATAGTTCGAGCTCGAGTATAGAGGCTGACGTCGTCGCTGGCGCCTGCGCCTCGCACGCAAATCCAGCTGACAATTTGAAATGCACACAGAAAACAGCCGAAGGGAAGGGAGGGGGCCTGCGAATGGGTTATATCAGTCAGTCATCGCGCATACTTGGGCGCTGAGTACGTGTTTTGAGTCAAAGTCGGAGCTAATGCGATGCGATGCAGCTGATATTGAGTCGAAGTAACTGACGGGCGGGAAAAAGGTTATATCATAGTTGTGCAGGTAGTTTTGCTATTACTCATGGAGCGGAAATGATTGATAACTGAAACAGTTGATGAAGTGACCCAAAAAAATAATAGGAGAAAAAAACCAAAACATATTTAAATCGTCACCAATTGGCATACAAAGCATTGCCATTGTGAAGTTCCCAGAAAATGGGTTGGGCTCTTGGGATAAAGAGGATGAGTCAGAAATGGCGGATGACTGTGCCTGTGTCTGCGGCCAAATATTTGAGCAACTAATCGACATAGCCGGCTGACTGTAGCTGCAGGGTAATTTCAATACTCACTTCAACAACTAGTCAGAGTGAGAGAGAGAGAGAGAGAGTGGCAGCTATTCCCCAGAGCAGTTTGATTGTTAACATTCATTGACTAAACTCATTAAACAACTTTTTGGAAAACTCGACTGGAAATTAATTTAAACTTGCGTGCGGCAACAGCCAGAGCAAAAAGTGCGCCAGCCAGGCTGGCAAAACTTTCAATTCGCTTGAATTCAATTAAAACTGCTGCCTCATGCCAGCTATGCGTATGCGTGATATTGCGCATACGACCCAAGGGCCGCAATGCCAACTGATAGTCGTTACAAAACTGAACTGTCAAAGGATTGTGGTGTCTACGGACAATGATATGCAACAACAACAACAGCAACAACAACAACAGCTGGCAGCATCAGCAAAAGCCAAATGGAATGCACAGCATTAACAACATGACTCTCACAATTTGGTTTTGCTGTGCAACGACCGCTGCACAGAACATTGCCCCGGCCGGGACATAATATTGAAGGCAACTGAAACAGCTCAGAGGCAGCGTCATGACGAGGCTCTCGGGGCAATAAGATTACCATGCAAAAAGTAAAGCACCAAAAACAAAAAAGGGAAAAACAAAAAGAAACTAACTAAACAGGACAATCTCAACTGGCACAGCCAAGCGGCATATTAGATGTGATATGGCTGTCATGTAAGCACTACGTGCTGCTGCGGCTCCTCCACGCTGTGCTGATAGCTGGCAGCAGGTGAAGCATGTGAATGGCACACTGTAACTGAGCAGCTGAAGACGTGCAACTATCAGGGGGCAAGATTGCGTAGCACTTGTGTGGAAAAATGCGTTTAAAGCTGCTGCTGCTGCTGCTGCTGCATGAAATGGAAACAATTTCTCTCTTTTTATTTTCATTTTAGCTCAGCTCCTAAAGCGCTCAAAGGCAGCTGCGATTGGCTGCTGCAGCAAAGAGAGTGAGGGGAAATAACTCAAAAGCTATGCCATGAATTCAAAATCAAATAAAAACACTTGAAATGCAGTTGGCTTTATGAATGGCAGCTGTAGAGAGTGCAAAAGCAATACCAATACCAGGAGCTCAGTATGAATATGCAGGATGTTCTAATTAATATTTATAAATGTCTATGTATTTGTATTTGTATTTGTATTTATGTGTGTTTATTTAATGAGCGAGCATGCAGGAGAAAACTCATTTACAGTGGTTTGTGTCCGTCTTTAGCTGACTTTAATTGAAAAGTATTAGCCTTTATTGGCAGGCCTTAAATCTTCCTCTGCACTCTCTCTTTCATATCTGTATGATACGATAAATCTCTTGACTGTACTTCCTTCAGCTTGAACAGTTCATATGCTAGCATAAGTAAGAGCGCTTTATAGACGTATCTCACTGTACCTTGAGTGGAACCTAGCAGAGCTCTCTAGTCTGCTAATTCATTTCTATATTAGATTAAGCTCTTCTAGTTTTTCTTCAAAACATTCACATATGAGGGCAAGCTCTTCGAATGCCAGAGTATTTTGAAGTCGATTCAGCTCAACTAAATCTCTAAATATCTCCCTCTTTCTGTCTCTCTTTACCACCCTATGCTTGCAAAAAAACCTCAATTTGGCCTGTATGTTGCGGTTATTTGTTGTGGCTCGATTAGCCATGGCAGGGCATGTGATCAATAAAATGCGCATAAATTAATTAAGAGCGGAAACACAGCTAGCTACAATAGCAACCATGTATGTATGTCTGTTTATGCTTAGGAATATATTATATGGAGAGCCAATACATTTGGGTACATGATTGTTTAATGAAACCGCAAACCTGAATTTAGTTTAACATTTCTTTGTGCTTCGTGTTGTTGCTTAAATTGTTTCTTTTTGCTGGAATTTATGCTAATTATTAGCACTAGGAACTTCAATTAGCCGCCTGCAACTTAATTAACTATGCCCAGAACGGGTTAACCGAAACGGAGCTCGGCTAGTGGGAGAGCAAGAGGAAGTCGTTTATTAATTCTCTTTCCTATATTTCGATTTGTTTATAGTTATTTAAAATATGCTCGCTGGCTCGCTGTGCGAGCTGTAAGAATAATGTCGACAATTTGTTAGGCTATCAACCGGTTTGCGAGCAGCCAAAATAGCGAACCTAATAATCCAAAAGCATTTCGAAGATTTATGTGGCAGCTGTTCGCATTGAACCCCCGTCAAGAGGTTAACACCAAATGATGCTGCTTTTCGCTTTCAATTGATTGGATTGGCTGGCTGATTGATTGATTGACGGACTGACTGGCTGAAGGCTTGAGCGAGTGAGGAGTGATGTGTGGGCGCTTATCTCAATTAAGAGCCACACACGCATACACACACACACGCACACACACAGTCAGCTAGCTTCCTAATTTTGCTGAGTGCTGATTGAGTGATCTTTCGAATATTTGTTTTCATATTTTCTGTTTACATTTATTGGTAATTTGTTAATTTCATGTCGTTAGTCTTTTGCCAAATTCTTCATTGGAAGTTTGGCAACATTTTTGCGAGGTTTTTGAACTATGATCAGCTTAGCACAAGTCTTCAGCGTGTGCTCAAGGCTCATTTAAATTCTACACAAAACCAACTACATCTGCTGAACACGCCCTTAACTCATTTATCAACAGAACAAAAATAAATCAATCCACACAACTTTTGGTCATTTCTCAACTTTAGTTATGCAAAGAAATATAAAAATATTCTAAAGATCTTGTGACTGGGGCTTCGATTTTTTTGTATGTTTGATTTTATGCAAGGTTATAAAAATCAAAGCAGAGGATGTGAGGATATTGGTTAGCATATATCATGTGTATACCCTGTGAAGCTTAGCTTAAAGTGGGTATGCAGAAATGAGTTCCCCGAATATATAAAAATTGCGAGTCTCTTTTATTACTTGAACAGAAAATCCTTTATAATCTTAAAAGGGTCTTTCTCTTAACAGAGTATCTAAGCAGCGTGCCTACCCCATCTCTTATGGTACTCATAAAACTCCGAGTTTCATAAGCCTTTAGGGCTTCGCTGATTGATTTGTTTCGTGTGAGTTTTTATCATTTACGATTTTGCTTTCCGGGAACTGTTCCGAGAGTTTTGAAAATCAAATTAAAAACACATTTTCGTGCGACCCAAAACCGAAAGTGACTTCATCGCCATCGCCAATGCAGCTCACTGTCGAGGCCGATGCCGATGCTGATGCTGATGCTGTAATAAATATAGATATTTACATAAATATCAGCCTAAGCTGGCGAGGCAAGTTCAAGATCAAGGTCAGTGAGATGCAATGGGCCATGCAGGCACACACACACACACACACTATCATATGTATATACATATATATCAGATATAAATTGTCAACGAATGCCATTTGAATGCTGTCTCCCACTGTGAAATGCAATGAAAAGACGCTCGTAAATCACTCAAATATCGCCCACTTACGCTCATATGGACGAACAACAGTTTTACGAGTCGATTTACGAATAGTTGTGGGTGGCGTCAACTTTATGGCTGTGCAGCACCGTGAAGGCATCAAGTATATATTAATAATATAAATATAAATATAAATATAAATATAAATATGTCTATACATATATGTATGTTTATTCATGGCAAGCAAACTGACAACAATTACCAGAGCAACTGAGCCATAGGCCCATGGCCAATGTCAGGCAAGCGTCTACGACGTCATCGTTGAGGAATTCGGCGTCGACTCTCAGCTGCCTCGAGACTGGCAACAGTCGCAGTGTCTGCCGAAGTCGTCAAGCGAGTTATGCGTAGCAATTGGCATGGGATTACAGCCTGGGCCTGGCGGCACTTTTAATTTATGTGCGCTTACAACAACAACAACAACAGCTACAACAACAAACCAAATAACATATGATTAGCAGCAGGAATGACGCATTGCAGTTGGCAATTCGCTTGGCCAAACAGCAGCAACAGCTGAGCCCAATCGACTTGAATGGCTCAATTATGTGACACAATCACAGACTGGTGCACATAGCAATGAAAGAGCACGGCAAGCGCTGCATTGAACGGCAATATATTGATATACTATACCTATATCAGCAAATATGTCAGACTAACTATTTCCGCATCTTATGCACTTCTTTAGTCAGCGCAGCGAGAATCTTATCAAGTGCTTAACATTATTTATCATTCATTTATTTATGGCCTTCAGTCATTTCCTTATTAGCCTGCACTGTTTGAATATTTGAACTTGTGCAATTAGCTGAGCTCAGTTCTTACAGCTGACTAAATAAAATTACTCAAATGGAAATTCAACAGATGCGAGAAGTCGTTTTCTAAGCAGCTCTGATTCATCAAACGTACACATTTAGCTTTGACATTTCTGTCAAATATATTCAGAATTTCCAATTGCTCAACAATCTTGTGAGGGGCAATTGAAAATCGCTCGCCGATCGTTGAATACCGATCTTGGAAATTTCGCGGCAGCCGAAAAGTATGCAATAGAATTTTTACGCTGCAGCGCTGATACCTGAGGAATAAAACCCAAGAAGTTCTTCTCTTTTAAACTTTCTTCAAATCTGATCATGGAGCTAATTGTGTGTGTCTGTGATTATTGGAGCCATCGCCACTTCTACAATCGACCCGTGCCGGATCGCATTCAAATGCTCTGCGGCGGCGAGGGCAGCGCCACGGTCAAGTCTGAGTCTGTGCGTCGCTTGGTGCTGGAGCTGGATGCAGTGCGTGGCAACTATGTGCTGCGTGAGCTGCTGCAGCAGCGTGTGCTGAAGCAGTGGCTGTTGCGAGAACTGGGCGTTCGGCTGGTCTGGCTGACATTTCAGACGCCACAGCGCTGGTCCATCGACTACAAGTGGGCGAGCATGCTGGCACACACCATTGGGACGCACATGGAGCTGGAGCACCTGATGTGCTGGCTGTCCACGCTGGGCGGTGGCTACTCGGCGCTGGGCGACCAGTTCGCCAGGTGTGCAGAGACAGCGGGTGAGATCTCGCTGCAGCAGCTGGCGATTGGTCTGCGCCTGGGCGATCCCTTCCTGCAGGCGCGTTGCAAGCTCTACTACAGCATCTCCTTGATACAGCGCGGACAGCTGCGCAGCGCCAAGTTCCTCATCCGTGCTCAGTACCAATTCGCCTGTGGATTGCACAAGAAGCGCGACAAGCGCCTGATGCGCATGTGCCTGGGCGTCTGGCAGCGCCTCTGCTACGAGTACGAGCAGAGACAGAAGCAACGTCTATCAATTGAAAATGGAAAACGATTCCATTGAGATCATTTGTTATTCGATAGTGTAATGGAATGTGATTAGTTCTAAGAATGAAATGTATGTAATGTAAAATGTAATGTAGAGAATTAGAGAGGGGGAGAGAAAATGGTGTGTGCGAGAAAGAGAGATGGAGAAAGGCCGATGAACAAAACGAGAAAGAGTTGCGAGATAATTCGAGAGAGATTGGGACTAAAAGAAGAGACACAAAAAGGCAGCATATAGACAGAGACAGCAGTACGGAGTGCGAGGGAGCGGGAATGCAAGAGAACCACGGCAAATATTGTTTACATATAAACAAAGTGGGGCTAATCCTAACTAATGAAAGTAACTCTAATAATACATATTAAAGCCAAAAGCCAGCTCATCCAGCTACGTGTCGACTGCCTGTTTGAGCTATTGACACAAGGGCTTAGGCATGTTAATAAGCCAAACACAAACATGTATTGATAATGCTGCTTGACAACTGACATAAAGCGTTAATCGTTTGGCCAGTAATTAAAAGTTAATATTAGATTAAAGTCAGCCACAAAATGACAGCATGAAACGAATTTAAATCAGAGCCATTTGATATTTATGGACAGCTTAAACTATATATATGTATGTACATATATCGAGTGTTGTGCGTCACGCCCAAGGGGCCAAGGCAAATGACAGGCAAACACACGCAAATCAAACAAAGCCAAAATAGAATGCAATTGGCAAGAGCAACAGCAACAGCAGTAGCAGTAACAGCAGCGGCTGGCCAATTGCCGAAAGTGTTAAGTGGTAATACACACACACGCACACACGCACACACCCAGAGAGCTAGCTAAATGAGAGGCAACAAAAGCCACGAGCTTGGGCTCGGTTAGTGGCCAGCTGCGAGTGCTTTTTGGTCAGTTAAACGAGCGTCAAATTTGTTTATGAAAGAGTCGTTAATAAATCACACAAATCCATTCAAGAATCTCTCGCCAGCTCAATTTGTCTTTGCGTCGGCGTCGCCTCATCCATCAGCGGAAACGCGCGTTGCTATTATTTAATTTTTTTTTTTTGCATGAAATCAACATGCGCACAGAGATATACAAAATATGATAAACAGCATTAGATGTGCCAAGAGTTGAAAGAGTTCAGCATCTAACAAATGTTTCACCATCAACTATATTTATTCTTTTTTTATTATTTTTCGTTGCAGCGCTTCAGCAGCAATGTAAAAAGTTGCCAAGCGGCTGAAACGAGCAAATAAGGAAAATAAATTGCATGCCCGGCAAGCAACAACAGCAGTAGCTAGAATAAACAGCAACAACAACTACAACTTCAACAACAACTAGGAGTCATTAAGCGTGCAACATGAGCAGCAACCGCAGCCGCATCATGTTGAGCTGCCTAGCTATTATTACCTTAGGTTTATGTAAGTGAATAACGCATACGACCCGTCGTGCATGCAGCAGCAACTAATTATAATCATATTCCTGCCGCCACTACAGTGACGTCCACATGCCAGGCGCAGCTGCATATGAGCGCTTCCAGCGCCGGTGTTAGTTTCGACGGCGGGCCAGCACCACAGAGCGCTGACGTGGCCGTGCAGGCCGCCCGGCCACACAATCGTCGCATGTACGCCATGTGCCCGCCGCAGTTCCAACGCGTCGGCACCGACTGCTACTCCCTGGTCGGTCAGCGCAGCAGCTGGCTCGAGGCCTACTTCTTTTGCAAGGATAAGAACGCCAATCTGGCCGAGCCCGGCAAGAATGCGGACCGCAAGCTGAGAATCTATCTGGAGCGTGTGGATTCGCAGTCTGGCGGTAAATCGACTAAATTACACAACTTTGACTACAACTTTAACAAACATCAACTTGACATTTCACAGAACACGATCCCATCTGGATTGGCGGCACCTACGACCATCGCAACAAGCACTGGCAGTGGAGCACGAGCGGACGCAATCTGACCTACGATGCGTTCAGCCAAATGGACTCGACGTACGTATGCAACAATATGCTGATTGTATTTTGTAGTTTATTCAGCGGGTCGTTAATCTTCAAGCAACTATTTTAGCTATATGCAACTTATCTCCAACAGCAAGCCATTGGACAATAACTGCGCCGTCTACGATCCGAGTTTGAAGTATCGCTGGTCGGCTCGCTCCTGTCCGGACAAATTGCGTTTCATCTGCCAGCACAAGATGCCAAAGGTGAGGGAGGACAATCGGTACAAGATCTACAATCGCTGGAATGAAACCTATCCCAATCAATTGGCCAATGAGGTTGTGTTGGAGGTCATCAGTCGACGTGGCAAGGATAACAGGTACGCAGAATAGAAACATAAGAAGAAGAGTATTGTATCCAGCTTAAGCTGTTTCCTGAGCCGCCTGCGGACTGCCGCTGGGCGCCTCTTCTGCCTTCTCCTTGGCCGCTTCTTCTGCCTCCTCCTTGGCCGCATCTTCCGCTTCCTCCTTGGCCGCATCTTCGGCTGCCAAGTACTCATCCCATTTGGAGAGACGCTCCTGTGCCTCAGCTGCCGATTCATCAATTCTGCAAGCACATTTGTTAAAGACTATCTATTTTAAATGGAGTAGGGCTTGTCTTCACTCACTTGTATTTGGTCTTGCCATCCCAGTGATCAGCGCTGAGCTGGCGCTGGCCAAAGTATCGGCCCTGCATCATTTGTATGACCATGTCGGCTTCCTCTGGCGTAGACATATTGATCTGAGCTATGCCCTCGGGATGGCGCTGCAATGGCAATACAATTAGTTAACTGCAGCATTTAACGGGTCTTCAGGAGCCACTCACATCATAGATAACAACTTTGCGCACCATGCCGCATTTGCTGCACTCCTCACGCAGACTATTTTGATATTCCAAAATGAGCTCCACCTCCTTCTCGAACAGCTCCGGCGTAAAGAGATTTTTAATGATGACCGTTTTCTCGTTCTTCGAACGCTCGCCCCGCATTTTATCAGGTCGCCAGTCGAACAATCTGCGAATGAGTAAATCAATTCGTGTTTCATTTCTCTTTAAAGTTTTTTCTACTTACTTTTCCTTGATTTTCTGCAACTTTTCCTTGTCCTTCTTCTTGCGCTTGGGTTTGAGTGCCGGATTGTATTCGCCGCGCATTTGAAACTGCGCCCGCTGGACGTGAATTTTATGGCCACGCAGATTGTAACCATCCAAAATCTGCAGAGCCAAGTTAACAGACTCTACCTACAAATAAAAACAAAAATCGGATAATTATTGTATACATATATTTATTTTAGTTTAGTTACTAATTAAGCACTAATCGCTCTTGTTTGTGCGCAGATATCATCGCCGCGTTAAGGCCGAGGGCAGCAACGAGGAAATGATTATTCCCACTCGCAGAAACCGTCCGGCCAATCGCCGCTATCCGGGACGCAATCGTCAGCAGGAGAAGCAGCAGCAGCATCCCAACGACATCAACTATCAGCAACGGCCACGCAAGCAGCGTCCACGTGTGAGGACGACTGTGGCGCCTCCTCCGCTGGTCATTAGCAACGAGGTGACGTCAACGCTTGCCACTCGTCCGAGCGCGCCTACCACGCAGCAACAGATGACGGCCTACGATCGCACCCTGCAGCGACAGCGCGAGAAGGAGCGCAACCGGCAGGAGCGCAAGCGCGAGCGCAGACAGCGCATGCGCCAGGAGAGACTCGAGCGCCAGCGCAAGATGCGAGAGGAGAAGCAACAGCGCAAGCAGGAGGAAAAGCAGCAGCGCCAACAGCAGCAGCAGCAGGAGCGTGAGCAATTGCAGCAACAGCAGCCGCCAAGCGAGCCGGAGGCACTGCGTCAGCGCGCCATTGAGGAGCAGCAGAAAAAAGAGCGCGAACAGCGAGAGCAGCTGGACAAGCAGGAGAAGCAGCAGCGCAAAGAGCAGCAGGAACGTGAACTTGAACGGCTAAAGCAGCAGCATGAGAATGAAGAACGCCAGCGTGCCAAGGATGACGAGGCGCTGCGCTTGCGTGAGCAGCGACTGCAGAAGCAACGAGAGCTGGAGGCCGAGCAGAGACGAGCTCGTGAAGAGCTGCTGCGCAAGCAGAAGGCTGAGCAGGAGGAGGCCGATCGCCGTTACGCGGCGGAGCGTGCCGCCGAGGAGAAGCGTCTGCGCGAAGAGCATGAGAAGCGACTGCAGGAGGCCAAGTCGGAGCAGGAGCGCCAATTGCAGGAGGCGCGCGAGGCGAAGCGTCGCGAGGAAAAGGCCATTGAAGAGCGATTGAAAGAGCAGGAACGCCTGCGTCAAGAGAAAATACGTCGCGAGCAGCAGGAGGAAGAGAAGCGTCTGGAACTAGAGCGCCTAGAGGAGGCGCGTCGCTTCGAGCTGCGCGAACTGGAACGCATGCGCGAAGAAAACGAGCGACGTGAGGCGCTTCAACGCCAACGCGAAGCAGAAATCGCACAGCGCGAGGCCGAGGAGCGCAAGCTGGCCGAAGAAGAGGAGCGACTGCGCCAGGAACTGCAGGAGGAGGAAAAGGCACGCAAACGCCAGCTGGAACAGGAAATCGAGCGCGCCGAGCAGGAGCGCAAGCAGAAGGAGGAAGCCGAAAAGGCAGCAGCCGCGGCCAAGGCAGAGCAGCAGAAGCAAAAGCTCGAGGCAGCCAAACGGATTGCCGATGCCGAAGTCGCTGCCCAGCTGGAGGAGAAGCGTCGCCAATACGCCGCTCGCATTGGCGCTCTGAGCAAAGAGGATCAGCTGAAGTTCATTGAGATGCGGAAGAAGCGCAAGCAGCTGCGCGAGAACCAGGCGAAGGCCAGAGAGCAGAAGAAGCTCAAGCGGATACAGGAGGCCATCAGGCTAAACGAGATGCAGTAAGGCGCACACAAACACACAAACACACACACACACAGACACACTAACCTATACTAATGCAACAGAAAAGTAAACATATCGTAAACAAACTTTCTTGGACGTAAACGTGTTTTGCCTTTTGTTCATAGTTTTTGTTTTCTTTTATGCAAACACGTAAAAGTATTATTTACAAAAAATTAAAAATAAAAACCTAAAAAAAAAATATTAGATAACGGGAAACAAACGTAACAACAACAGCAATAGTAGCATTTGCAATAGTCGCGCACTTTTTTGAAAATATGCGTCAAGTGAAATATTTCCAGGCAAAAGTTCAAGCGCGCACTCATATCCAGCTCTATTTAGTAATGTACAGCCAATATACATGCATATATATACCATATATATATAAATTTATGATATGATATATGATTAAACTAGCGTATAGAAACACTCAAGCACACACACGCACACCCACACAGTTCCCACATAGCAATTAGCAAGAAAAGAAGTGATGAACAACACAATTTTTATGAAAATTATAGAGCACAGAACAATGAGTAAATATTCGAGCCGAATAAAATGCAAGTTAAGCTTAAGTGGGCGTGCCACGTCTCGCTCCCCATTTTGTCAGCCTGATGGGTCTACAACTTACTCAGAAGACCATGCCTTCTCCTACTGCTCCTGCTCCGGTTCCTTCTGGCTCCCCCACACGAGATACAGCGACCAGGCCAGGAAGCAATAATTTATAAGCCTAACATGATATGAGATCCTTTTTTATATAACAAACAACTATCTATAAAATGCCTAAACGTGAACACATAATAATAAATATATATGATAATATTAACACGAAGAAGAAGAAGAAGAAGCTGAAGAAAACCCATTGCAAAGGCTAAGCGTAACTATTGTACTAACTAACTAGGTTATATATAAATATATTTTATATTTAATAATTATTGTATGTTTAAATGTAAATTTATTGTATTTTTTAATATGTACCTCAACTGCGAATTGTAGAAGAAGAAGAAGACGAGCAAGTGAAAAGAAGAAATGAAAAAGAAAATGAAAATGTATTTTCCCTTAACACCATCAAATATTTCCTTCGAATTGTGTTTTGTTTGTTTTCAATGAAATGAAAGTTAAGAAATGAAAAGCAATTTTTAGTAGCCAAGTAAATGCATTTTAAAATTACCAAGTAAACAAACAAACAACTAACCAATTTATAAACAACTATATAAATATATATATATGTATACATATGATATATCATTATTATATAATAAACACAGAGAGCCGAAATAGTCAGCATAACTAAGGTGAATATTTAAAGAATGATTGAGAAATGCAAAGAATACGCAAAATTAAAATGAAAACTGAATATTATGAGCATACTATAATAATAATAATAAAAATAACATAACATTAACAGTACATATTAAAATATCTATTAAAACTTAATGCAAGCAGTTTTAATTTAGTAAAACAAACAAATAAAGTTTTAAACACAACACTGAAAAGCCAAAAAAAAAAAAAAATGTTTTTCTCTATTCACATTAGCTAAACTCTATTGTGGAGGTATACACAAAGCTGTTATATTTAAATTAAATATATACATAGTTTGGTATATTAAACTATATTCTGATGGAGCATTTTTATCAGAGATTTTATGGCCCGAAGAAACAAAAGCCAGATCTCTGTCAATGGTAGCTAAAATGACCAGCAAAGACTGAATAATTGCCTTTATTCTACATTTGCTCAGCTGCAGCAAAGTCAACATAGGGAGAGCGAGGTAGAGGTAGTCCGAGCACAGGTAGAGCGAGTTTGGGGAGATAGAACATAAATAGATCGAGCACAGGGATATTCAAGCTCCTGCTGTTACGAGCTCCAACTTTAAATGCCAATTTAAGCGCATATATGGGGAGCCAACACAGGGATGAAAGCTCAGGGCGAGCGAGCATAAGAAGATCGAGCAGTGTTCTAGATACAGGCAAAGTGAGCTCAGGCACAGCGAGCACAGAGAGAACGATGTCAACTCTAACGTCAGCATTGACTCAACTCATTAATTTAAATAATTAAGCTGCCTCTGCTAATATTTGATTGTTAAGCTCTAGTTAAACTGACACTAGCAGACCGAATATATCTTTGTTTGCCTAGCCGAAGCTACTTGCCAACCACATTGTAGACAGGAAAGCTCTCGCATCACCCAGACAAATCATAGCAAATCCCATTCAACTGAAACTCACCTTTATATAGTCACATAATCCGTCGCCCTTGATTTGTCCATCCGCTTCGGTGTACAATTTCAGTTTGAACTTCTGGGTTTGCGGATCTCGCATGACTAGGCCGCACTTGCCCATCAGCTCGGCAAACTCATCCATTGTTATATCCAGGGGCAAGTTGGAAACGTAGACTTTGGTGTTTTGCGTGGGATCCACATCAAACCATTCTGTGAATTCAAACAAATAAAAGTTAAATGGAATACATATTATATACTCTATTGTTTTTCACTTACTTGGCGGCTCCTGGGCCTTGCGCTTGCCAGCCACAGCTGCCGCTGGTACACCATCTTTGCCACCTATGGGGGCATTCATGGCCGCCTGGGCCTCGGCTGTCATGCGCTTCAATTCCTCCTCCTTGCGTTTAGCTTCAGCTGCCTCGCGCTCCTCCTTCTCGCGCTCCCCGGCGCTGGTGTTGTCTATGAAGCCATAGTTCATCTGATAGCGCGCCATGAAGTCGTCGTCGATCTTCGGGAACCACGCCGACTTGCCGGCATCCCAGAAGAAGACGACGCCATCCTTGTCTGTGTAGGTGCGATCGCCGTTCTCATCGATGCCATAGACCACATCCTGGCCAGGCGCTGCCTGTGGCAGCTTCTTGGGCAGCCACTTCTGTTGCTCCGCATCCCACTTGTAGTGCTCGGTTTCGGTAGCTGTGCTGGTGGTGCCGGACCACTTGTAGTGCTCGTTCTCATACACATTGCCCGCAGTGGGGATGAGTCCTCCATCCCCGGCCAGCGGCTGCCAACTGTTTTGCGTGTTACACCATTTGTACTTTTGCTTTGTGCTGGGATCCGTGTAAATGGCGCCACCATCGGCCGCATAGCTCACATGCTGTTCGTAGTCCGCAAAGTCCTGCTGCGAGGCCTCCGTCTGGCTGACCTGGTCAGGCGTTGAATCGCCTGCTGTGCGGCAGCTTGTGGCATTAGCCTCCTCCTGCTCACTTTTGTTATTTGAGGCATTTGTTGTTGTTGTTGTTGTTGTTGCCGCTGTTGCTGTGGCTGTATTTGCGTTGGTTTGCTTTACCAACGTTTCGCATTCCTGCTGAGGTTTATCGGTTTCCAGTCGCTCGCCTGGAGAGTTGGAGTCTGCTTCGTTTTCCTTGGAAACACTTTCACTCTCACTGCCAGCCGGCTCCTGCTCCTGCTCCAGCTCCTCTTCGTTACCTTCTGCCACCTTGGCATCGCTCTCAGTTTGCTGGCTCATTTCTGTGTGGTTTCTGTAATTATAGAGCGTTGTCCAACGCAGAAAAGTAGACTACGTTTTAGTGCTTTGCAGCTAATTCCAGTTAATTTCATATTTTTCGTATATTTCCTGCCCACATAATCATAAAGGCCACGCGAGTAGCAGGAGCCGAGAGACGTGAGGTTGGCCACAGTAAATTGGAGAAACGTGCTTATGACGCTGACATTGTGCCACAGAACCATAATCAAAACACAAACATTCTTGCACCTTTTTGCTTTGGCTTTTTTTTTATTTTGTAAACACAATTCGCACGCTGATTGCGGCGAGGAGAGGAGGGGCGGTGGGGGCGGCATATAACCCAATCAAATGCAAACGAAATGAAAAGCACACGAAACGCCCAAAAACAAAATATAAAAGCTAGAGAAAATAATCCCACAAAAAGTCGCACAAAATTTCGTTTTTATAGTGTATGGAAAGAGCTGAATAGAGTGAATGAAAGTTTTATAGAGCAACTGGCAAGAGATACCCTGTAGAAAGGATAGAAAACTAGAAAGTCTATAGATTTATTTATATATAATTTTAATATTCGAGTAATAAATACAAGATCTTCCTTACCTAACTGATTAAAACAGGTAGAATGCTAGAATAGAGCAGCTAGCCTGCCTATGCATTAGATCTGTAAGCAATTATAAACATATTTACAGCTTACGCTTTATTTAATCTAAGTTGCAATTAACAATCCCCCCAACATGCCCCTCTCTGTCATGTACACACGCTACAGGGTATGCCTCACTTGACAGCAGCTGTTGAAGGTCAAGCAAACAGTTCTATTTATTTTTGGCAGCTTACCCCAAGGCCCTTTCATCTAGCTACCACAAATCGATTGGCTTGAAGCAAGTTCAATCAACCGACCCACCCGCAGCCTTGTTGGTGACAACTTGAATTGGCTGAGCCGAAATACCGATTGATTTGTGTCTTGAGAGTTGCCGCAGCTGTCTTCCTGCTCTTCTTTCTCTTTGCGTCAGCGGCACAAAGAAGACGTTCGTTCGATTCGGGTTCAATGTACGCGCCATTAATTATAACAATTTGAGGCATATTCTTACATGCACATTTATGTACTTGTATGTGTGTGTAGCAAGTGGGTCTATTATTGGTATGGCTTTTCACAACTTTACTAAAAATATTTATGTACAGCCCAATGGCCGACCTCTGGCAGAGTTCAATGGAACGCGTCTTTTGTGCAAATTTGCATTCGCAGAGGTTTTCAAGTGGGCGCAGGGTCTACTTATATGTGGTAACTGGCACATTGGCCGACAGTCGGCACACATCTAGTCCGCGGAGGCATGCAACAGCAACAGCAACAGCACCACCACCTGACACCACCTTTGACGGTGGCCATAACTGCAGCCAGTTGCAGTTAGCCAGTTGAACATATACACACACACACACACACACACACTGGGACGATACTCGTAAATTACTCAGACACACACGCATACATACATACGTATAGATAAATATATGTACATATGTAGTATGATTATAGTATAGATATAGCTTTACATATAGGCGTAGCCAGCGCCGTGACTTCGTGTTGCACAAAACGTGGCCACGCCCCCTCATATGATATAGTCAATTTTTTCTATTGGTTTTGTAGATCATAAATAGAGCATTCAGATAAGTACTGTACGGCCTGAGTTATTGCCATAGATTGTATCATCATGACTGGATTGTTTCTGTTTCTGTTTCTGTTGTTTTCAAATGCTTGAAACAACAAGTAAAATGTGCAAAATATGAATATTGAATAAGGGAAATACAAATGTCTGATGGAACAGAATGAGAGACTGACACAATAGCAGAATCGGTAGATAGGCTTCCTGAGCTGCAGACTCAATTCAGATTCAATTCATTTGAATTGATTGAAGTAAACTGTTTGAATGACGAACTCCACAGTTGTTTGTGCTCAAGTCTTAAGTTATTCTTAATTTAATAATAATTATAATCCAAAATGCAAATTTAAATGAAGTCTGAGCACTTCAACAACAATGAATTCCTTTTAACAAAACCTCAAACAAAACGCAACTTGGCAAATTCTAAAATTACACTTTCAATTATTCCTCAACCCATAGCTTGACCTACTCACCCAAGGCAGAAGACATGAATAGACTTTACAATAAGCCAAGCTATAGAGTTCTTAGCCACATTGTAATGTAATTTTTGCTGCCCTATAATCGAACACATTAATGAAGAACACGCAGTTGTTTGAATGTGAATCGCATGGTCAGCGAATTGCGCAAGACACTTCAAGGCCAAGTTAAGAGGGGAAACAAAGGGAAATAAAACGCACCGCAATTGCATAAGAATTGAATGGAAAATTTCTCATATGGGCCAAGAAATCAATTAATTGACGCAAATTGTCTGCGAAACTGCAAGTGTGGGCCATGATCAAGCTATTCAGCTGGCCAATAGACCAGCAGACGGCATTCATTAGCTGCCGCGGCGCCTTAAAGGCCATAAAAAACAAAGTAGAAGTCGAGCCCCAATTAGCTATTGCTGTAAAGCTCCATTTCTTCCCTTACACGTTTTTATTTTTGTATATATTTCTTGTGCTACTTTACATACAAAGTAAACGAATTAATTAACTTTTAGTGAAATTCCAGCGAAATTGTTCAGTTTCGGTCGAAAAGTTTTGCCAACTTTCTTATGCAAATGTCAACAGGTCAGCAATTCGTAACGCCCAACGGCTGGCCCATATATTATATATATACACACATATAGTTCATGTTATTTTTAACATTCGAAGCCAGAGATTTGCGCACATTACTCACAAATGCCATTAACTGAAGCCAAGTTTGAGGCCATAACCCCAAAACGTTCACACTTTCGAATAACTTGACTTGAACACGAGCAGCCACACACAATATCGTGAGTTGGGTTAGGGTGACTCACTATAGAGGTGCATATGGCCGGTGGAAAATAGCCTCAAAGTGCCATAGTGGAGCCAAGCTGCCTAAGCAACCAGGCGTACAGCACAAAACCGTTTTCATAGCATATTTATGGGGGCAGCCCAGTCAGTCAGTCAGTCAGTCAGTCAGTCAGTCAGTTAGCCAGGACTAGCTAGAGTGGGTGCCTAGGTGTATATGTGTATTGGTATATGTACAAGTCCTGGCTAGAACTGGGCAGCCCTTGCGCTAGCTTGACCAGTACACGCCGAAACGTTCAACTGACCGCAAGTGCCGATGGGCTTAACGGGCTAACGATACGAGTTCTATAGCTGCCAATATCACAGCTACAGACACGCAACGACAAATGCTTTTAAGTGTTTATACACATTATATACACATACACATACACACACAGACATACATTACATACAGCTGGTGATAAAAACTTTCAAATGAGTGCAGCCGGCAAATTATGCAAAAGCCTAATGTCAAAATCGATAAAACCAACTAAGAAATTTAAATAAAAAATTAAATAGAACAACAAACACACACATTTATATATATCTATATAGATTAACAAAATGGATATACCCAGCAGCGGTGCAATTTTTACGCTCGGCAAATCGCATTTGGCGGAGAATACGCAAAGCTATTTCTATATCAAAAACGATCCGGTCAAACGCTTGATATCCGGTCCGCATCAGAGTGCGGTTATATGCGGTAAATTTAAACACCAATACAACAACAACAACAACAACCATCACAATAATAAGAAGACTCACTAGAGTGTCTGTCCATCTGTTGGTATTGCTGCCTTCCCATCAACTCGACTTTAACTTTGTGCCCCGTTGGGCAAGACGAGCTCCGCTTGCCCGATTGTCTTTTGCGGTGTCTGTGGCAGGTTTCGTGGCCCGTTGAGCACGTTGCATGCCCGCTGCAATTTACTCTCAAATAATAAACACGCAGCGCACTTTCGCTTTTATGTTAGCCCAACAGCAACTCGAAACGATGGCTCAATTACAGCCAGGCGATCATAGGGCTCAGAGACTGCAATCGATTCGACACTATTCTCCACTTAGCTTACATAACTCAACGAGCAGCTCGAGCAGCTCTAGGAGCCGACTTGCAGCCAGTTTAGTTTAAATAGGGCCGAGCAGGCACACACTCGAAATCACAGACCAATCCAATACTCCATTCGGGCATCTAATGAGGTCAGCTAAAGGGGGCGGCCTGGGGGCGCTGCTGCCATAAATATGGGCCAAACTCACGAAGCACGTTAAAGGAAGTAAATAGTCCACGAGTGAGTGAGACCAAAAAGGCTAAAACCGAACGCGGTTCGCGCGTAATTGAAACGTAAAGCGGGTCAGGTGAAATAAAATAGTTGAAAGCAGTTCTTTGGACAGTTGAACATTTTGGGCTTTGGATTGACAGTGACAAACAAACACACACACATACAAACAGACACCCACACTTAGTTACAGTGCCGAACACACACGCAATCAATAAAACTTACAAGCAGCAGCTAAACAAAAGGTGAATTTGGTCAAAAGTTGATGTCAAAACGTTTTTATCAATTACAGAATCGGGTCGTCTTTTCGTTTGGGGCGAGAATCATTATGGCCAACTGGGCATTGGCGGGCATGCCAACAAAGTCAACAACAACAACAACAATGGTGATATAGTCAGCAAGCCAACTTGCGTCAAGTCGCTGAAAACTTTGGGCTTAAAGATAAGCGATGCCGCCTTTGGCAACAATTGGGCCGTAATAATGACGCGTAAGTAAGAACAGGGCTAAAAGCAAACGTATGTGGCATACTCTTATATGTATGTATGTATGTATATAATAAGCTCATACTAAACTAAAAGTCAATTAATCTCTAATTATAAGCAGTTGCTAGTTAATTTACCAACCATTCAACGAACTAAACTTCTAATTAACACTCTTACAACTTTGCCTCTCTCTCTCTCTCCCATTCGCCCTCCTTCTCTCTCTCTCTCTCTCTCACTTATACCAGTTTCCAATGAGATATTCTTTACGGGTCGAAACATATTCCCCTTGGACACGCATGTGGCTCAGCATTTCATCAATGCAGTCGTGGAGGAGCAGCCGTGCGCCATCATACGAAAACCTTTTCGTTTGGAGGAGTTCGATGATTATCTGTCGAAGAACGAGGAAACGGATAACTTTGTCGCTCTGCAGGCGGGCAACGAGCACTTTGCAGTGCTGACCAGTGAGTAGAGAGAGAAAAACTTTAAGGAATTGCTCAGCTCAGTCTGTCAAATTTTTGCAGGCAAAGGTCGCTTGATTGGCTGTGGGTCGAATGCCAAACAGCAGCTGGGCGATCTGGGCATGGACTACGATGGGCATCCCGTGGAGATATGCCTGGACGCTCCGGTGCAGCAGTTTGCCTGCGGGCCAGAGTCCACGCTGGTGCTGACTGGCAGTGGGAATCTCTTTCTGACGGGACGCCTCAATGAGTTTGTCTTTCCCAAGTTCACGGAGCTGCAGAAGAATCTCTCGCAGACGGAGCAGATCATCTTCATGCACATATCGAAGGCCAGCGAGATCTTTATCGTGACCAATGTGGGCAACATCTACCGCAGCTTCGAGTCGCTGCGCAACAAGAGCTTGGTCTTTCAGCGCTTCTATGACTACGACAGCGAGGAGAATGGTCCGATTTGGAAGCTGCTCAAGGGCTTCTCATTCTATGCGGTGCTGAGTAAGGCCAACAAGTTCTTCACCACGTTCTCGGAGAGCGGTCATCATCTGAAGACCTTCCGTGAGATCTCCAAGTTTAAGAATCTACGTCTGCTCGACATAGCCGTAGGGGATCAGCACATTCTAGTCCAGGGCTTGCCCAGATCTTCGGCCCTATCGGCTACAGTGGGCAGTCCTGCGGGTGCACACAGCTACATGAGCCGCAGCTTTGTGCTACAACCGAAGGATCTCAATGGCAACATGGAAATGCGAAGCGCCAGTGGCAAGAGTCTGACGAAGCAACGGGCATTGAAGGAGACGGAACCAGAAACGGACGGAAAGGACAAGAGTTCTGCCCTCATGGGCGCCAGCGTAGCAGCAGTTGGCGCATCTGTGGCCACGCTGGAGGCAGTGAAGCATATTTCCGATGAACACGAAAATCGCACAGCTGAGCAGGAGCCCAACCCAGCAGAGGAGGCAGAAAAAGACAGCGAACAAATGACAGAGACTCAAGCAATAAATGAGAATGTGAGTGAGGAAGCAAATCAAGAAACGGAACAAAACGCAGAGTCCACAACAGAGGAGCCAAATAACAACAAGGAAGAGTTGATGGAAGCGAAAGAAGAGACGCCAGTTGAAGCCGAGGCAAGCGAAGCAACGCCTCAAAAGGAAAATGAAGCAGGGGAAATGGAAATGAAAACGGAGCAAATGGAGCCCACGGCGCCTGAGGAGAGTCAGATTAACCAGCCCACAAATACGACAACAACAGAAACAGCAGTGGAAGCTTTAGCCAAGCTGCCAACGCCACCTGCAGAAACGCCATCACCTCATCAATCATCAGCAGAATCGATCAAGTCGAATAAGTTAAAGGCAGTGGACGAGCAGGCGCCCACAGGGAGCAGCCAGGAGAAGCAACTACGCCCGCACACGCCTTACCCGGACAGCAGCAATGCGAGCACACCGCAAACTATTAAGCGAACGCCCATTCGGAACTTCTCCTATGAGGCGGCCATGATGCACGATGAAATTGAAAAAACGTCGCCAGAGCTTGTGGATAGCCTGGATACGGTAGAGGAGAATCCGCTGGCCGAGAGTGCGCCGTCAACAGAAATACAAATATCTACGCCCACGCCGCCGACCGAGGAGGATGAGCAGCTGGCCGTTGAAATAACGACCACAGAGGATGCGCTGGACAGCAGCAAGGTGGTTAATGAGATACGTTTCATCAATAATGGCGTCGATGTGACGGCCAACGTTGAGAACCAAATGCCTGGCACGCCGCTGGCTGACTTTGTGGACGATCTGGAGTCGGAGGGTGAGCAAATGCTGGATGATCTGGAGCAGCACGTCGACAAGGTGGTCACAGAACAGAAAGCAGCGGCTATCAAGGCCACAGAGAGCGTCAGCGATGCCATCGAATCAAAGCTGCAGGAGACGGGAAACACGGTGCAAACAGCTGTGCAGAATGCGATGACGGGTGCTCGCGATACTGTTGAAACAGCGGGCGAGCGCATGGTCAGTGGCGCCCGAAATGCTGTCGATGCCGCTGGCAAGGGTGCCCAGCGCATGGCTGACGGAGCTCGAGGTGCTGTCGATGCGGCCGGCAAGAGCGCAATGCGCATGGCCAGCGATGCTAAGCAATCCATGGAACAGGTGGGCAGCAATGCAGCCAAAATAGCGACAAACACGAAAGAGTCAATGGGCAGAGCCATGGACTCAATGACCAGCAAGATATCTAGCGAAGTGCATGGCGCCAAGGAGAATATATCCTCGCTGTTTCAAATCAAAGCGGCCAAGGAGTCACAGCACATGACGACGCCCACAACGACACCGGAAGATGTTCGACCAAAGCGAAGCACCGAGACAGCCACATCTGAAGACATGGAGGCAGAAGGCGAGGAAGATGAACGCACCACGGCATCGGTAAATTCAAATCACCATTCCGCTGCCCACAGCAATGGCAATGGCAACGGCAACGGCAATATCTTTGAGCCCATGAACAGCAATAGCCATGCCTTTGAAGAGGATCCACTTGATGCGGTTGTTGAGCGCAGCAAGAAGGCAATGCAAGAGGAGTTGCGCGCTCTGGAAGAGCAACGCGCTCAATCACATGTTGATACCAAGAGCGAGCCACAGCGAAGACAGAGCACAGAGAGCAAAGGCATAGTCCAGCAATTTCTAGATAATGTGCGGCTTTCGTGCCGCAATGAGAAGGCCGTACAAATCGAAGGTGAGCATGAGTATATAGAAATAAATATCTATTTTAGATAATACTTACCTCTACTCGTTTACCGGCAGATGAGCCGCCACCGCAGACGCACCACAGTAAAAACAAGGTCAACAGCGAGCTGAGTCTGCAGAATGGCCAAAACGGCGAGCAGCAGTCGTCACGCGTCTGCACAATTTTATAAAAAAGAGGCGCACTATCCACTCAGAAAAGCGTACACTTTTATAAACAATCGCATTTGATTTTAATAAATAAACTTGCAATTGCCATTTCGCATTAGAAATGCGTGTTTTTACCGTAAATCTATCGATGATTTATATCAACTATCGATTAAAGCAGTTAACACGACGCGCTAACACGCGAATGGCAGCTGTGTTGCTCCAATATTCTTACATAGTGACATCTCTTATTTATCACTGAATGGTTTGTGTTCAAGAGGGACGAATCACATATTTAGACTAAATATGATTTATATATTTCTATTGGTGAATTTGGGCACCTGTCATAGGTGATGCGCACCTGTGACAAGTCACAGGTAGGTAAGTATACCATCGCTAAATTGCACCAGTTCAGTGAATCATTTGTACCAGTTCTTTCGCGTCTATTTGGTACGCAAACAGTAAAAGCAAAAAAAAAAAAACAATTTTTACTATTTTTCTACGTTTTATAAATGAATACAAAACAATAAATAATGCTTTAAAGCATAGTTTTAACTGAATTTAAAGCGAACCGTGTGCGTGGTGCACACTTGCCTGGCCCGCGAAAAATCCAATCAGAAAACGAAAAGGCCAGCACGAGTACAAAATGGAAAGGTAGGTCAAAGAGTGAGCGCGCCCAGTGTGCAGAGTGTACATGCCCGAAATAAAAAACGCTTGCCTGAAGGGTATTAGTGTTATTAAACATGTGAAAATAGTGAAAATTTCAATTGGCCCATAACCTCAAAAGAGTTTTGGTTTTCGCTGCTGTTATAATGTGAGTGCTTTAGTATATGTGCCCGTATGCGTGTATGAGTGTATATGTAAGCGTGTGTGTATGTGTGAGTGAGTGTGTGTGTGTCCGAGTGGCGCGTTGTGAAGACGTCGACGTCGACTGAAAGTGGTTGTCGCTTGTCGACGAAGAGGGCGACGAGCAGCAGAGCAGCGGGCAAGGTGAGAAGCGCGAGCGCAAACGTGAACGTGAACGACAAGATCGAATGTGGAAAAACTACTTTAGAGTGGACTTCGAAAATATGAAAAAATATCGCTTTGCGTGTCGCCGCCAAATATAAAAATTCAAAAGGACGACCGCGGCAGACGTCCAGGCTAACAAGTTTTCTCATCAGCATAAAAACTATCGAGTAATACTGATGAAAAACACATGTAATTCGCGAGAAAGTAACACGCTGTCAGTTCGCCCCAAAACGTGAATGTGTGTGTGTGTTGATTGCGTGTGTAAGTGGAAGTATGTGAGAGCGTATGTGTTTGCGAGTGGAAGTATGTTTGTATGAGAGAGTGGGGGAAACGGCGACAACAGCAACAGCAACAGCAGCAGCGGCGGCGACGGCAGAGGCAGCGGCAGCAATTGGAACGTGGAACCTGTCGGCGCACGTAAAAACCAGAGCCAAAAATTCAAATTACATGCATTGGGCGCGTTTTCAAATGCATAATCGCTAACACTCTTATAATTTATGCTAAACACTCGTTAGAGAGCAGAACTTTTGCCATAACAATGGCCGTAAGCAGACACCGAACACCAGGCGAACCAATTTGATGAATAATTTAAATGGAATTATAATTTCTTAACATTTCGCAGTTAGCTTGGGAATTCCTCACATATTTTTGCATACGAAAAAGGCGAATAACATGTAAAGATGCCGCCACAAACTATTCACTCACTCGCGCTCAATCAGAGCTGAGCGAAATCACTGAGTATGGATAGCCGATCACTGTGATATTTGTGCTCGATATCTAAAGAGGTTATCAAACTCGTTCAGCATAGAATATTGTTTATATGTACTCATGCTAGGCATGCTGATGCAATGCCAATAACAACAAACAATTATTTACCTAACTGTAGCAGTCAGCTGTTGCAGTCAAATGAACCTATCGATATTAGTCACTGTGGCTTATCAGTCACAGTTGCAGACAAAATCACAGCTCTGCTCATCTCTAATCTCACGCACACTCTCTCTTTCTCTCCCTCTCTCTTCTTTTCTCTCTCTCTCTCTGTCACAGGCACTAACTAATACAACAACAAGAGCAGCAGAAACCACAATCAGGCCAGCCAGCATGTCGTGGCATTTGTGAGCAGCGCGCCAAAAACTTGTCACGAAGTTTCTTGTTATTGACGTACGCTCCCGCGCTTCGAGCTGCACTTCCCCCGTCCCTCGTCCACGCACACACACAAATACATACATACATATACACATATAGATTCACACCCACACATATACATACACCCGCCCAGTTCTGACGTCCAATCCTTAAGTGCTTAGCTGAAGAGAAAGAGGCAGCTTATGATGCATATCAAGAGTCTGCCACACGCACATCAGGCCGCCGCGGCAATGAGCAATTGCGACATTGTGATTGTTGCCGCGCAACCGCAGACCACGAGCGCCAACAACAACAACAATGACACTGTTACACAGGCCAGCCATGTCAGCCATGTGGCAGCTGTGGCGCATGCACAGCACCAACAGCAGCAGCAGCAACAGCAGCAGCAGCAACAACAACAGCAGCAACAACAGCAGCAACAACAGCAGCAACAACAGCAGCAGCAGCAGCAGCAACAACAGCAGCAACAACAACAACAGCAGCAGCAGCAGCAACAACAACAGCAGCAGCAACAACAACACAATCAACAGCAACAACAGCCGCCCGCGCCCACAGATGTATCCCTTCCCTTCATGCATTTGAGCGGAATTTCAGCGGAAGCTCACAGTGCCGCTCAAGCGGCCGCAATGGCAGCTGCGCAGGCCGCGGCAGCGCAAGCCGCCGCTGCGGATCAACAGCAGCCAACAGCACAACCTGCACCACCAACGTCGCACACGCTGGCCCATTTGGTGGCCAATGCTACGCACAGTCCCACGCTGGGTGAGACGCACTACGTCAGCAATGGGCACTCAAACAATGAGCACTCGGGGGAGGGCAACGGATCGAGCGGCAGCGGTGGTGGCCGGGAACCAGAAAAGCCGTTCCATTGCACGGTGTGCGATAGACGATTTCGCCAGCTGAGCACACTGACCAATCACGTGAAGATCCATACCGGCGAGAAGCCCTACAAATGCAATGTGTGTGATAAGACGTTCCGTCAATCGTCGACGCTGACGAATCATTTGAAAATTCATACCGGCGAAAAACCGTACAACTGCAACTACTGTCCCAAGCATTTCCGTCAGCTGAGCACATTGGCCAATCATGTCAAGATTCATACGGGTGAGCGTACATTTTGTGTGGCACTTCTGATCGCCAGCTAATTCTAGCCTCTTTTGCAGGTGAAAAGCCGTTCGAATGCGTGATATGCAAGAAACAATTCCGGCAATCGAGCACGCTCAACAATCACATAAAGATCCATGTCATGGACAAGGTCTACGTTCCTGTCAAGATCAAAACGGAGGAGGACGAGGGGTGACTAGGACGCATGGCGTTGGCGCAACATCATCATCTCCAGCAGCAGCAGCAGCAGCAACAACAGCAACAGCAGCAGCAACATCAACAGTCGTCAACGCCATCCCAGCAACAGCAACAACAACACCACATCGAACATCAGCGTGGAGTTACCATTACGACGCTCCCGTCTACCACGACAGTGGCACAGCATCAGCAACAACAACAACAGCAACAATCGCATCTACAGCCCTCGCATGGCAATGGCAGCTCGCCGCATCATCATTTCAATGTAGCCGCCTTGGGTGATTTATCCGGAGCGATGCAACTGGGCGCCGTGACGGCCGATGGTAATTTTGTGACCATGGGCGGCGTTGTAGTTGGCCGCATTCAGCATCCACGCAGCGAGGAGCTGCATCATCTGGGCGTCATCAAAGTGGAATCGCCAACAAATGGCATTGTCAATGTCGCAACAACTGCTCAACGTGACGGATGAGTCGATAGGCTGCTCCTCGAGCCAATGCTCAAGGAGCTCGTTGAGCTGAATGATATTGCGTATGTGGAACTGGAGCACGATCACCCGCAGCCGCAGCAGCAACAGCAACAACGACGACGACGGCGACGTCGCCACGTAACATAGACTGTCAACTGGCTATTGTTGTCATTGTTGTCGCAGTTGTCGTTGTTGTTGCTTTCGGTGTATACGCTTACGTTGTTGTTAGTTGTTTAATTGTAGCGAAACCTTGTTGTTGTTGTTAAGATTTAATCGTAACTGAGAACTTACCGAGATGAATTATCAGGCTCAACGCTGGCTGGCACTCATCTATTTCTAGTTCTTGCGTCTTAGTGGAAAAGTATGTGTTATATAAGCGTATTAGAAAACTGAGATGTTAGCTGCACCCAAGCCTGAATATGTATAGCAGCAAAACGCTTCAGTAGTAGCTAAAAAGAGAGGATATCGTAACCAACAGCAGATAGCGCTCCATGGCCTAAAAAGCAAAACGAAAGATCAGAAATGAAACACACTCAACTTACACACATACACACACGCATTCACAATCACTTAACGAGGCAATAGGTTTACAACAAGCTCCCTCTCAACCTTCTAACTATACATATACATATAATAGCTAACTAACTAAAACTGGTAGCGCAAAACTCCTAAACAAAAAAGAAGAAAAAAATAGAAAGAAAGAAAGAATGAAGTTCATTGATAAGCAAAAAGTCATTTCGTTTAAGTTGAAAGTTAAAGAAAAAAAAAAGAAAAAAGAGAAAGAGAAAAATGCTTCACAAAGTGCAAAGAAAAAGATTAAGGAACACTAGAAATATTTTTAAAGATTTGTTATATATATTTACATATACTGATACGAGAGAAAAACCAGGAACTTTAATTCAAATTCAATTTCAAATTGTTCTTTAGCATTTAAATGTTTAAGAGATTGTTGTAAATTGTTTTAGTGCGAAATTGATTCTGCTGCATTCACTGGAAAACATGTTGACTTAGTCAAAGTTGCCCAATGTCTTTAATTACTTTTGTAAAACATTAAACTAAAAAAAAAGCATAATAATTTTAATACTTATTTTCAGTAAAATTGTAAAGCAAAATTGTAAAAATTGCAGCCATCTTAATAGGTCTTTGCTCCAAGGGCCTAAAACACAAATCCAATTTGTTTTTAATCCTAGCCTAATTATTTAAACTTTGTTCTAAGCAAATCCCAATACAAATAATACACATCTAAACGAAATTTTCAATTACCTTAAGTGGCAGCAGAAACAACCTATACTACATATATATCTCCCTATAAATATATACATAAATGCTATATAGACATTAGTTCACCCTAGTTCTTAAAAACTTGAAAGTGAGTTTTTGTTAATTTTAATTATAATTTTAGTCGTTATAGTTTTATTTTTGAAAAAGAATCAATTACAAAACAAACAACAATATACACAAATCAACTTTTTAATGCTAGTTAAATGGAGTTACAGACACACACACACACACACAAACTACTAATAATGCTAATGTTAAACATGTAATAGAAAGCAAAACAGTTTTGTACAAAGCCCAACTCCAATTTTGTATATGTATAAAAAAAAGCAACAGACGGAGAGAAACAAAAAAAAAACTAAAGTACGAAAATATTATTTTCTAAAAATATAAAAATGTTGTCTTATTTTATATTTACATTTAAATATAATTGTTTATTTGCTGTCCAGCTTTAAGTTTTCTACGCCGACTGAAGTTTTACAACAATTTTGTGCATTACTCAACACTGAAAATTTAAAAAATTTGCTGCAAAAATATTTGTGTTTTTTTTTGCATAAAGTTCCTATATATTTTTGGGCAAGCAACTAACAAAATACAAATTCCAATGTATACGAAAATATTATTTCGAAAAACAAACACAAAAACAAAAAAAAAAAGCATAATACATAAATGCATATAAGTAAATAAATGTTGATAAATGTGTAGTGTTAAAAAGTGAAAGCTAGAAGATGACGAAAAAGTAACAACAAATTTAGTTTAATCTAAGAGCTAAGATATATATATAAATATATATATTCTAAATAATGCTTAAAGATCGTTTAGCAATGTTAAAGCAACCAGAAAACGAAAACCCAACCACATTTGCTGGGCTCCATATTTTCATATTTTCATATGCAGTTAATAGAGAAAATGCTTTGCATTGGCTTTTTGTATAGGCTAACAGGGAAATAGTCGGGAGAAGAAGAAGAAATGAATTTAATACGAAGCGAACTGAGTTAAGCATCAAAAAGAGAATAATTTCCCATTTGGCTAACTTACGACATACAATCTTATTTGAATTGTTTTTAACAGTCGACAGCTTGGGCAGTTTCTGATCAGAGAGCAATGACAAATTCTAATTTATGAATCAATATAAAAAAAATTGGGTAAAATATAAGTGATAATAAAAAAAAAATTCAATATTACATTATCTGTTTCCCCATAACTAAGTTTCCTGCTTTCTCAGTTTTTGATCAGATTTTAAACGAGAGAATTGGAGTCGTAGTGAGATTAGCAATTAAGCTCGCCTAATTTAAATAGTTGTGTGTACAAGCAAATGAATTTAGACATAAAATGAACATAGGAAACAAAACAACCAGTAACAAAGCGAATTGCTTAAAAACAAAACCGAAAAAACGACACGATAATATTGTATAATTATACACAAAAAAAAAAAAAGAAGGAAAATGCTATGTACTTATATTTATATGTATATATTTGCATACATATGTATGTTTATGTGCAGTAGCTGTATTTATATGTAAATGTGTATGTAATTGTGTATTTAGTTAAAAAGAAAAACAAACATAAAACATAAAGTATATATACATATGTATATTTGCAAAAATGGAAAACGCGAATGACACGGGACAAAGAAATATACGGAAGTATGGAAAAGCAAGCATTCGAATGAATTTTTAATGGAAGCTGGGCTATTGCAATTTTCTGGACAATATTGATATTGTTGTTATTTTATCATTGTTTAAATTTTCGAAAATATTCGATATATTTTGGTATTTATTTACAGCTAATTACTTATCGGCACACGATATTTCTATTCGATAGGTTTCATACATGACAATTGCTCGTCTACCCGTGAACGACCCCTTGATAAGAAGTCGCTGAAATTAAGCAAACGTTCTGCCAATTCTGCAATCAAGTTAATAGTTAACAATGTTCCGCCTACAACAATCACAGCCCGATCCCGCTGAGGAGCAAAAGCGAGTTGCCGCTGAAGTGCGAAACAACTTTATAATGTTTGGAGCGCTGTGCATAGCTATTCGACTTGGTAAGCAAAGAAATCTTGATTGGCTTATGTAAATACAAATATTTATTTTGTATGAAAACAGCTCCTATTGTGCTGCAACATCTGAAGAACGCGTAGATGTAAGGTATTTGGAACTAGATGAAGGGCGCTACATACATATGTATATAACATGTAAAGATGCATTTAGCTCTCAAGCACGTGCATCATATGCGGCGGCTTCTCAATTTATTTTAATGAGTGAAGAGAGAATCAATGTTGACTATGCATACAACCTTAGTGCTTCTAATAAACAGCAACTGTAACTCTAATGTAGTTAAGTCGTTTCAAACTAATAAATAAAAAAAAAGTACAATCATATTAATATGAATATTGGGCATGCAATGATTATTCTTCATATCTATATCGATATTTTTATGCAACATCGCAAGTTGCACATGGCACTTTCCAACACCAGCTCGCAAGACGTCAACTTGGCCAACACAATAAGAGAGGCGAGAAAAAGAAACAACAAACACTGTATAAACAGTTGGCAGCTAGCGAACAGACGTATATTAAGAGTGGCCAGTAGGCAAAATGAAAACGTAAAAAACAATAATCGCAACCGGCTGCTGACTCAAGTAATTGCTAAAGTTAAACAGATAACAACGGCCGACAAACTTTGCCAAAGAGAGAGTAAAACACAACAATAGCGTGCAGTACTCACCAATTGGAGCATATGGAACAGTAAAGTTAGCGATAAGGGCGTAAAGTACTCTCCGACCTGGTCATTTGTTAATGTACGTGCAATAATTAGTTCCGTCGCCCCTTGGGCGTACAGATTCGATAACTAGATAATGGTTGCTCCCAAGTATGAACGTCTCAGCACCGGCGACGGCGACGGCGACGTCGATGCTGGCAGCGACATCGACGGGGGCAGCAACATCGAGGAGCTCGAACTGAGCGCCGACTTGACCCATAAGAATGCCAACAGCATTCAAGAGCGTCACCAGCTGTCGTCGCATACGAATTTTCAATACGCGAAGAGCAACAACAACGGAGACGCCGCCACGTCTGCACAGCAAAATCATTCACATCCCCACGACGGAATGACGAGACATGCAGAGGCTCGGTTCATGCAGATGGCGATCGGCACTCTGGCCACAATTCTGCTCTATTTGTCGCTGTCCATCACGCTCACCTTCTATCAGACGGACATCAATCGCGAGCTGCCCTTTCCGCTCACCATTGTCACGTACCATTTGATCGTAAAGTTTCTGCTGGCTGCGCTTGTGCGCAGCATCTATAAGATGCGTGTGGGCAAGACGCGCGTCCAGCTGGACTGGCGAGTGGCGGTGCGTCGCATGGCGCCAACGGGCGTGGCCAGCGGCATTGATATTGGTTTCTCCAATTGGGGCCTTGCCCTGGTGCCCATCTCTTTGTATACAATGACCAAATCGTCTACCATTGTGTTTATATTGCTGTTTGCCATATTGCTGGGACTGGAGCGCAAGGTGAGTGGCGGCCCCGAGTACGATAATAATTATTACTATAAATATAAATATTTTGATGCCTTTACAGAGCTGGTCTTTGGTTCTTATAGTCGGCCTGATTGGCTTGGGTCTGTTTATGTTTACCTACAAGTCGACACAGTTCAATACGCTGGGCTTCTTGTTTATTCTGTTCGCTTCACTGAGCAGCGGCGTACGTTGGAGCTTTGCGCAATTCATAATGCAAAAATCAAAGCTGGGTCTGCACAATCCCATCGACATGATTTACCACATGCAGCCTTGGATGATTGTGTCGCTGTTTCCGCTAGTACTCTGCATTGAAGGTAAGTATTAGAGTCGTCCTTATCGAATCTAAGCCCATTAGTAAGCCTATTCCTTATTGCAGGACCCAGGTTGTATGCTGCGCTGCAGAATTTGCACAATACGCCGGAGAGTGAAATTCTATACGTTCTGGCCCGCGTTACACTGGGCGCATTTATTGCATTTTTCATGGAGGTCAGCGAATTTTTGGTTCTCTGCAAAACATCCAGCTTGACGCTGTCCATAGCGGGCATATTTAAGGACATATGCCAACTGGCGCTAGCCGTGGCCCTGAAAGGCGATCAACTCAGTCCCATAAACCTTGTTGGCTTGGCGGTTTGCTTAGCAGGCATCGCTTGTCATCTGGTGCATAAATATTCCACCATGGCAAAGGTAAACAAGCAACAGTTGGGCATGCAGTTGGAAGAGGATGGCGAGGATATGTGTGCCGAGTATGACTTCAACAAAGGCAATGCAATTGTTGGCGTTCATGGCAACGCGCCTGGCTCTCATGGCGCTCTCACTGTCCCGCTGCTGGAGCAGACCGACTCGGAGGATGAATCGGCTAATGATGCAACAAACAAGCAAAACGCATCGGATGTCATTTTCGATGTTCTCAAACGGCGCGACATGCAGCGATGAGTTGGCTAATGGATTACCTAAGCAACCGACTGTAAAGGCAAGCAGCAATGCATAGCATTTTATTTATAATTCTATTCCAGACTTTCTGGGAAAGTACCCGAACAGTTGTGATTGTATACGTGTGACTGTCTGCCTGTGTGTGTGTGTGTGTGTGTGTGTGTGTGTGTGTGACTGCGTATTATATTGGCAGCAGTCTGTCCTATCGACAGCCGTATTGTAAATGTTGTATATTCCAAAAGCTTACTACTTAGTGCAACACTTGAACTACATTCAGATATACCTAGCATTATTATTGAACATATGTAAATGAATCGATCTGTTTATTTCTATTTTACACTTATATATTTCCTTGCAGATATATATATATATATATATATACTATTGTATACATTTCGATTACAAATTCTCTCACTGGCTCAGTCCGTCTGTTCTCTCGTTTGTAATTTCACTGTAACTAATGTAATATGATATATACAAATTATGCTCTTCCGCGTGAGAGCAGAACGCCATATGCGCGGCCATAAGAACAAACGTTCGATGGAAATAATTTAATACCTACTGTCTGCAAGGGCATTTGTAATTCGGTATACCGGACATTTGATTATTATTATTATTTTTTTTGTATGTTGGTCACATTCCCCCACTCCTAAATCATTTATTTGTTTTAGTATTGATCTTGTTAAATATGAATCTAGTATTTGTTTTGTTGATTGGGCATTTGTGCATATTCACCTGACTTTCCATTAGAGATTATTTAAGATACAAACGAAGAAAAGAAAAAAGAAAACTGTCTTAGCATTTTTACTACTGAAATAGAGGCCTATATATACGATTAAACTGGCAACTATTTAACCAATTTTTTAATAACTATACATTTCTTAAACACAATGCATTAACATTTATAAGGCTCTATATCACAGAAAAAATGTATTTAAAATTACAGAGTTCTTAATAAAAATTGTAAGTGTATTTATTTGTTTGTATGCCTTTATTATATTATTTAAGTTTTAAGAACTGCTACAGCCTCGTAGCTAATGCAATTATTAAAGAAGTAATGCAGAACGTCAGGTATGACTTGATTTAGTTTAGTTTACCTGGCTAATCGCGTCGAACAGCTCTCAATGTCGCCCTTAAAGTATTGGATACTTGGTGGTTGCCTCGCCCTGCTATTGATACAATGGAGGCGCATGTCATTGAAATATGATCATAATGAATATTTGACGAAGACTCTGAACAAATTCTTAGTTCCTCGCTGGGTTGGCTCCGTTGGCCACGATGATATCAATGAATTTCTCAAGGAAGAGTTGACTCGACTGGGCTTTGACATTATTAACGATGACTTCTTCGACGTATATTCAGTGAACAATGTGATCGGCGTTCTAAACACGGGAGCGAAGCGATTCCTACTGCTCAGTTGTCATTATGATTCGAAATATTTGGAGACAACAGAGTTTTATGTCGCGGCTACAGATGCTGTCTCCTGTGCCTTGTTATTGAATATAGCCGAGGAGCTAAATGACTTTTTACATCAGGAATTTGCCAATCGCCCAGATCTTGGATTGGTGGTGAATAGAAAGATTATCTCAACTGCAAGCGGCCCGTGTTAACATAATTGACATTGTCTTTAAGCTGGCATTCTTCGATGGTCATGAATCTGTTGATGGTGTCCTATATCCGAGTCCGATGTTGCTGGGCTCGATCAACTTTGTACATGTGGAAGTCGTAGCATTAAATAAGATCGTGAGCTGCTTGAATTAATAACTATTAGTTTATATGTATATACATATGTATATATGTATTTTTGTTTTCTTTGAGTTCTCAGGATTTAGTTATTTCCTTCAAATCGATTGGCGCACCAGATCAAATATATATGAGCAAATATCAACGTACATACGCATTGCACGATCGTCTAGCAGATATTGAGCAGGAGTTACGCATTTCCGGGGATCTTAGCAAGTGCCACCAGTTGTTTTACAAGCTCAAGGATCATAACAACGATATCGCTGATGATCACATTTCCTTTCTGAAAAAGGGTTAGTTTTTCATATATAAAATGTTCAAGCTTAAATATATGTATACACAAAATTCAACTTAAATAGGATTACCAGTCATGCATATAGTGCCCTATGCTTATCCAGAAGTCTGGCTTCAAGAAGCGGATAACCTGGATAACTTACACTGGCCGACAATTCGAAATATGAACTTAATTATTAAGCGATTTGTTTACGAATATATAAGTAATAGAACTTTGAGAACCTATTCAATTGGCTGATTGATATTAAATAAAGGAAACATTGCTTTAAATTTTAAAATATTCCAACCAATAGATATCCGACTTGGAATAGCATCAGTGGCGCCAGAGTTTGAAACATCGATACACTATAAACAATAGTTATCCGGCTTCTATCGATATGCGCGATAGCAGTTAAATGCAACTGTTTATTATGCAGCTGCCGCAGTTTGTGTTAGCCGCCTTCCCGCGCATTTTATGCTGGATTAGGTAGATTTTGTCTTTATGCTACAACCACCAAAGATTTCGACTATTTGGTTTTTCACTCGCCCAAAAACCACTGTAGCAATCAGTCGCACCACCCGAGCCAAGAGTTCGTAACACATAAATTCCATTGTGAGTATACCACACGCATCGATAATATTTTGGCGCTATACCTAACCTTACATACACAAGTAGCTTGTACGCACACATATTTAGATATACCTATACATAAACATTTATATTTACATTTATACATTCACGCTGATATGTTTTTTTTAGTTTTTTAAAATAAAATTGTGAAATTGATCAGTGAACCCATAACAAAAATGCCACGACGTAAGATACTCGCAAACAACAATAACTCCGAGGAAGATAAGGAGGTGCAGCCCACAAGAGCAAAAAGGGCGCGATTGGTTTTCCATCTGGACTTGCCCGAGCGTCGTCAGATAGTTGGCAATGTGTTAGTCTGTGGCACTGGCGATACCGGTCAACTGGGTCTCGGAGAGGATGTACTGGAACGCAAGCGTCCGGCCATCGTTGAGAACATACCAAATCCTGTGGATATCTGTGCCGGCGGCATGCACTGCTTGGTGTTAACAAAGTCCGGCGATATCTACTCGTTTGGCTGCAATGACGAGGGTGCGCTTGGCCGCGACACTAGCGAAGAGGGCAGCGAATCTCTGCCTGCACTCGTCAATTTGCCCGGCAAAGCCCTTTGCATTTCGGCGGGCGATTCGCATTCGGCTTGCCTGCTGGAGGATGGACGCGTCTTTGCCTGGGGCTCGTTCCGAGACTCGCACGGCAACATGGGCCTAACCATTGATGGCAACAAGCGGACGCCCATTAATCTGCTCGATGGCATGATATGCTGCAGCATTGCCTCTGGCGCCGATCATTTAGTTATTCTCACCACTTCGGGCAAGGTCTTCACCGTAGGCTGTGCTGAGCAAGGGCAACTGGGACGCATTTCTGAGCGTTCAGTTGGAGGCGAGGGTGAGTACAGAGTTTCAATGTGCCGCGTTCAAATTTTACTATATTATTACTAAATTTCCCTAGGTCGTCGGGGTAAACGCGACTTATTGCGACCGGATCAGCTAATTATCAAGCGCGCCAAGCCCTTTGAAGCCATTTGGGCCACAAATTATTGTACATTTTTGCGTGAATCCCAAACGGGTGTGATCTGGGCCGTGGGCTTAAACAACTACAAGCAGCTGGCGCACGCAAAGGACGCTGAGCGTGTTTTGATCCCCATTAAAACCAATTTAAAGGACGTCAAGCAGATTGCGGGCGGGCAGCATCACACCCTGGTGCTGGACAATGCAATGCGCTGCTTCGCCATTGGGCGTCCAGATTACGGACGCTTGGGTATTGGCGACGTCAAGGAAGTGGTGTCCGAGCTAACGCCCATTAAAGAGATCAGTGGGAAGACCATATTTATTGGCTGCGGCGAAGCTTGTTCCTATGCCATAACCAATGATGGTAAATTATATTCCTGGGGCATGGGCTCCAATAATCAGTTGGGCGTGGGAGATGGCGACGATGAGCTGGTGCCAGTTCCTGTCGTCAGCAAGAATACACAGAACAAGCGGATGCTATTGGCAGCCGGCGGTGGGCAGCATAGTGTGTTTTTGGTCGAGTCGGACGAGGCGGAGAAGCAAAAGGAGAATGTGCCAGCCAGCAAGAAGCCGAAGACAGCTGCCGTCGAAGCGGCCAAGGAATCGACAGAGACGGAAATTAAGGAGAAGGAGACGGTGGATTTGAACAACGAGACAGTTCCGCCAAAGGGCGATGACAGTAAGACTGGCAAAAAGACATCATCCAAACGCGGACGCAAGAAGGATTAATAGAGAAACGTTAGTTAAATGTTTCCAATTGTTTTGTTCTTCAAAAGTCGCATTACTATGATGCGCAGCCTATAAACACTTATTAATTAAGCCAACTGAATAAAATGTTGTAACTGATTTTGTTTTTTAAATATAGTAAATTTATATATGTATTCGCAAAATAGCACAAAAAGCTATTGCAAAAAGTGAAACAAACCGAACTAAAACATTTATTTACAAACTAATCAACTTGCATTTTAATTTATATCATAATAATAGTAATTACTTTATAATTTACATATATCATACATCATCAAGAACTATATAATCAGTGTTTCACAAGCGGCTACTAAAGATTTAACCCTACGATAGTAGCTGAGAGCTTAGAGTAGGTTGTTTGTGAGTGCAAATTGGTAAGGAAATACAATACACATTTATGTTCGCCATATCCATCATTTGTTTTCGTATAAATATTTCCATATACAAAATATATCAGTGTAACATATATACATATACATATAATTTTTGTCTTCCGTACATATATATGTTTATATATATATATAAAGATATAGATATTTGCCAACTACATAAAATATGAATCGGCTGGGTCAGTGCCGGGTGTCGATGCATAGTTGATCGCTGTAGTCGCATCCATCGACAGAGCTGTTGTTGCTTCTATTGCGGTTGTTGAATGGCTTGGAGCACCACCGTCATCATTTTGGCCATCATAATTGCAACCCAAATAGAAGCTTAAGAATAGAATACAGCAAACTACGGAAAGCGATAGGATCACACGCGCTATTTTGCGTGCGAATGCAATAAGACCAAGAAGATGACCGCCGTTAGCGACACCGCCGCCCATTTGACCGCCAATGCCTTGACTATTTCGCACCGACAATTGCAGATGAGCCAATAGTAATGTCTCCAAGCACTGGATGTCATCATCCGTGTAGTCCAAACCGAGGCTTAGGTCACAAATGCAGCTCTCCTTATGCAGATTATGGTCATTGTTAATTTTGTTAATATTATTATTATTGTTGTTGTTCTTGTTTTTGTTGTTCTGATTATGTTGGTCGTGGCTGGCAGTGGCATCGTCTCTCAAGGTCAGATTGCATTGAGACAGTAAATATTATTTACGTTTGGGACACGTGTATGCTGGGGCTTTACGGCAACTTCCGCCAGCTGGCGAGTGTTTTATCATCTGCTCGTACATAAGAAAACCGAACCCAATAAACAGCAACAATATTAGAGCCAAAGTGGCATATTGTAAATGATTTGTAAACTTCAACTGAGCTTCCATTTTTTGGGTTTGCTCCTGTAATTTGTCTACACCAAATTCCTGAAATAAACCAGAAAAGCGATATACATATGTAGAATGATAAAAGGTATAAAAATCCCCAACAATCATATAAAGTATATATGAACATACACTACTACTGCCATCGCTCTTCATGTTTGCATTTTTTGCACTCTCGGATTTCTCGTCCATACGACATACGAGACGGAAGGTTTCCACATCTGGGTCTGTTGAACATTTCGTTCTCCACATGTCTGCTACAGCTTGTGAGCTGCATTCGGTTTCTGAAGTGCAAGCTGCCATAACAAGGAATTTGTCTTTTCCATCGCTGTCCAGGATCTGATCAGATTTAAGCCAAATGTTCACTTCGGTTGATTCATTTGGGGGTATTATACCACAACGGGGACGCACGCGAAACTTTTCTGGTGATGTTGTTTGTATCTGAAAGGGGTATATAATAATCGGTATTATTAATATCATGTTTCAAAATGTATTCATCATAGCTCACCTTATAGACCACCGGCTTATTGCAAATGTTTCTCAGAGACACCTTTGCTTCCCCATTATCTTTGCAAATATTTACAAATTCCTTGGGCTCCAATTGCAACATTACTGGACAGCAGATACAATATGTGTATGTAGATGGGGAAATTAATTGTACGTGTTATTAAACTAAAAAATTTTTTTCCAAATTTTTGCTTAAACTAAATAATAAATTTACACTAGGTGATATGACTGATTGTGAAGTCAATGCTTGTGTTTCGTCAATGTTGTATAAATGATAAATCTGCTTACATACATAAGTACATACATAAATAATTTATATACTTAAGTGTTCTATACAAAGAGATATGCTTACCCAAATCCGAGGGCGTATGAAGCTTGCCGTTGCTTGAATCGTGGGGCGCCATACGAACGCTATTGCAGAAGGTAACCTGCCAAAGAGAGCGACACAGAGACAATGGAAATTAATTGAAATTTAGATGCCTTTGGTCAGCCCATGCTCATGGCATGAAAATTATCATCAATCGATTTATGCTGAGCTTTGCTATTTTCACGAGTGCCCATTCTAACACTTCAGGGCCTCACTTGACAACACAATGGAAGGCCGTTTTGCGAATTGGTCTAATTTACTTTGAGAGAACTTATGCACCTACAATTTGCCGGATAACGAGGCTTCATAACTGTATATATATATATGCTGTTTTTCTCTTCTGGAGAAGCCAATGTTTATTTAACTGAATTGTTTATTTTTCCATAACTTTTTATGTGGAAGTCATAAGAATACCTTTGTTGTTACAGCTGCCACTTTGAGACAGTGAAATTTAATCTCAGATACAAGATAGTTTTATATATGCAGCTTAATTGTTTATCTACTGCAATTTGAGATGGATGTTATGTTAAGCTGCTGTTATTTACAGTGATTATTGCAGGAACTTAAACATTGCGATGCAAAAATATCGATAAAAATATATATTTAAAAATATGAGCGAATCGTTATTGTAAAAAGGGAGAACTTGTTGCAGTAGCTCTAAACTATAATGCAATCTCAGTCACATATCTATTATTTTTTCTAAATAACTAACAAATATAAAATAGTTGAGATGCTTTAAAGTTTATTTACATACGTAAGTGAATGTATGTGAATATGGAAGCGCAGTCTCTATTAACTCAAAACCACAAATACATTTTAAAGAAACTGATTTTTGGTACATATGTGTAAATATATGTATATTGAGAAAATTGCAGAAAGCAAAAGAGTGAAGCAACTATTAAACTATTTTGTATCGATATTTACGGCGAAATACACAAAGTGATGTAGCAATGAGCAATAAATTACGCACAGCATCTGGGAAATGAGTAGAATCTAGACAATTTTAAAAACAAATGTGCAATAATGGATTTAACAATAGATTTATACACTGACAGAAGTGCGTAGAGAAGCTATGCAAGGTTAAATTAAAAACTATTCATTTGGAATATCAATTAGAGTTCGTTTTCGTTTTCTACACTTCCATTTGTTGTCGTTGCTTTGCTTTGTTTAGAATTAACAGCACACCCATGATCACCAACACGACAATACACGCACACACGCACGCACATGTCCATATTGGTCGAAACCACCTACCCTGGGCATGTTTGCGGAAGAATAATATATTAACTGTGTTGTCTGTTGTCCTCAGATTTCTTTTGCTTTCTTTTCAACGTTCCGTAAATGAATTGATTTATTTTAACGTTATGTTTGTATATGCAGAATGCTTAATGCGGAAATATCAGTGGCAGATATTAAGTTAATGCAATTATATTTCTGACAATTGGTGACGTCGCGCTAACACACCGCGACAAGCGTGGACACACAACTAAAACAATCAAAAAAACGCACAAAAGACTAAGCACAAAAGCTCGCTGTCTGCCAAAAAGCTCAAGCACTGCGATCGGCCTTTGCGAGCGAACAGCTGTTCGTTTGACTAGCCGACTGCAGCAGTAGCATTGCAAATTGCAATTCGTGTTAATTGAATTTACGACTCAGCGATGAGTATGCGGGCGGGCGAGCAATAACCGAATTAAGGGAAAATGTGAATGAGAATAAATAATTTGCCTAATGCTACGCGCTGGGAATTAATCAACATGTATGGCGTGAGTGTTCTATTTATTTTTTCTTTGTACAGGTCAACGCCTCACAACGCTTCGCTGACGACTGCGGACAAACGAAAGCGAAACTTTTACAGCGAGTCTATGGAATTTCTATTAATAGCGACAAGAATGGCCAACGCAGGACACGCAATCCGTTGCGCACCCTGAATCAATATCAAGCTTTTAATGTAAATCAATTAAGGGACCAACTAGCGTGTTCAGCTGGTCAGGAAATGCAATTAACAGACAAACTTCCGGACAGTCCAGCTACAAACTAAACACACCTAAAAACAATTTAACTTTCGGCTCTTGGGCCAGGTGATTTCGGGGGTCACCTACCTTCTTATCCAAACCTATTTCATCGTGGGGCTGGTCGTCGTCACCGGCATTGGCAGCTTTCGGCTTGGCTAGCGCACGTTTGGGCTCTGGGACAAATTGAAACTCGTAGTTGTCGCTGCCTCCCCAGCTGACCAGACAATTGTCCTTGGGCACATACTGAGTGACGTCCTTCTTTGATATCATTTTCAATATCTCAACCGCTTTGGGTGGCAGCAGCGTCTTAATGACCTTGAAAGCGGCTAAACATATGTAGGTAAAATAGAAGAAAAAAAGCTCATTTCCAAAGTTCAAAGTGTAACGAAAAAAAGGTTATTTTTACCATTCAACACCCAAGCCAGCTCGAAGACCAGTATGTAATTAAGCGAATTGGGATAGTAGAGCTTAAATGTCTCCACAATACGCTTGACAAAGTCCAGATCCATTGTGGCCAAACCCGTGCCGGCCATGTCAAAGAATATGCTCAGCTGGGTCAAATGAGTCTCGCGCTGCTTTCGCTCCACCCAGTAGACCACAATGCGTATCAATTCATCCAGATTCTTTGACTTGCTATGCAACTTGACGCGAAATATGAGCAACGGCTTGCCATCCACATCGTGGCTATGCACGAACACAGAGCCCTCATTCAGATACTGCTGGTTGAGCTTGGCCTCAGTCAAATCATTTGCGCCGTATGACTGACGCCAAATGCACGTATCCCAAAGCTTCGTAAAGGATGTCTCCATATCCAGATCGTACATTTCGAGAAAACGTTGCAGCCAAACATGGTCGTTTCGTATCCGATCGAGGTCGACGGGATGAAAGGGGACTAAGAGCAAAAAATAAAAAACCAACTGTTAATGAAGTAGAAAATATTTAAAGTTGAACTGTGGCACCTCCCTCAAAAGATCAGTAATAATTTCTGAAGATCAACTGAAGGTTGACAATCTATATGTATATATCTTTTATTTACACCCGACTGTCGCGACGCTTCGTATTTATAAAGTAAATAACGGAAAAATAGCCATATTATTTTAATGACGGTGAATAATTTCCCAAAGACGACGATATACGACTCCTCCAATCTGACTCATTTAAAATATACTGTAAATATGTATAGAAGCAACAAAAACCTATATACATAGCACTTGGCTAGCCAGCCAGTCCGGGCTGCTTACATCTGAGTGAACTTGTTGACCCTGAGCCGGCCAAGGGCAGGTAAGGCCAAGCCAGGCCAGGCCAGTTGGCTGCACTTTGTAATTTCATTAGCTTACCTGTAGGCGGCGCCTCGGCGTATTTTGTATTGAAGCGCTGTCGCAGCTCCTCAATCTGCGCAGTGGTTGGGACTTTGACTTTAATGGCCATGGCTAGCACTCAAAAGCTGGCGACAAGTGTAAGCAGCAACTAAACATTGAACTATTTGAAGTTTGTGGTTTGTGCGCTTATCGCTCACTGCGTTCGTTTGTTAATCGATAATCCACTTTCTCAGCACGATAAAGCGATAAGATTTCTATTTCCAGTATTTCCAAGCACCACACACACATCAGCCGCCAGCGACAAGCGACAAGCAACGAATGCAAGTACTTTACCCGAACCGACTCTGGCCAACTAACGGTCGATCGGCGATTGGTAATCGAATGGCGTACGCGTCTATGTGGAGCACCAATACACCCAATGGAACGCCTTCAAAAGGGCAGCGCTCTGCTGCCACTGCTGCTGCTGCTGCTACTGCTACCACTGCTGCAATAGAACGTGATCGTCGCCCTATGCGGGCTGCATTTAAATGAGTTTAGCTTTGAGTGAAAAGCTCGACTGCGCGAAATCAATGAAAGCTTACGCTCAAATCGTGGTACTCAAATGAGTATGACACGAATGAAACACCCGGCAGGTGAGCTTATTTATCTTTTATATATTTATAGTTTATTAATTAATTAATTAATTTCTTCTATCTGCACATACATTAGTTTAATAATGAAAGAAAACTCAGAATTTCGTTAAAATTATTTAGATTTATTCTATTTAATTTTATAAACATACTTTTTGTTTGATTATATAATTTAGTTAATAATGTATTTACTAAAATATTTATCAACACATTATTCCTACTGAATGTATAATTTTATTAATACAATGTCAAGTTCTCATTGGCTATAAATCAAAATTTGATATTTCGTTCGCCTGGATTATCTGTTATAGCCGTTCATTATTGATAAGATTATGCTCGTATTTTGGGAATATTTCTTGAATACATATCAAATATCAAATGCAATTGGTTATTCTGGTAATAAAAAATATATTATTATCATGAATGGCTTTATGTGTGTAACATATATACAGTTAGCGTTTAGGCTGATTCAAATTTAAATTTATAGTCATCGTTCCCGCCCCAGATCTTCAGGCAGTTATCCTGATTCACATACTGCGTAATGTCCTTTTTGGTGGTCACGCGCAGTATCTCCAAAGCCTCTGCTGGCATGAAAGTCTTCACCACTTTGAACGCCGCTAAAATAAATGAGAAATGGAAAATTATAATTGAATTATAATTATAGTCGCAAAAGTCTGACTCACCGTTGAGCAGGAAGGGCAGCTGGTGCACGATGATGTAGTTGGGCGTATAGGGGTACTTGGTCTCGAACAGGTTGATAATTCCCTTGATAAAGTCCAAGTCCAGATTGCTCAGTCCCGCATTGGTCATATCCATGAAGAGTGTCATCTTCTGTAGATAATCCTTACGCTGTATGCGCTCCACCCAGTAGACAATCAGGCGTATCAGATCGTCCTGATTCTTGCTCTTCGAGTGCTTGGAGAAGTCTACAATGAGCAAGGGCTTGCCCTCATGGTCCTGATTGTGCACATAGATCTCGCCATCGTGGAGATACTCCTGATTAACACTCTTCTCAGTAATATCGTTTGTGCCGTAACTCTGACGCCATTCGCAATTCTCCCACAAGCGCGTAATGGTCTTCTCTACGTCCAGCTTGTAGGCCTCCAGCAGTTTTGTAATCCAGATATCGTTATCATTGATACGAGCCAAATCACTGGGGTGAAAGGGCACTACAAATACACACACACATATTAAACACAATTCGGATTAGCTTTGACCGCATCCTACCTGCCGGCGGCTCGGACTTTAGTTTAGCCAGAAAACGAGTCTTCACCTCGTTTACTTGCTCTGCGCTGGGCTGTGGTCCTGTGGGCATTCTGACTAATGCAACTTGCAACTGAAATTGGGCAAATGGCTAATTGGTTTTGGTATACCATGTATTTATACACAACAGCACAAAAACTGGACAATTATCGCTTTGCTACTGTACTCGATCACTGATAAGTTATAAAAGTCTCGTTCTCCGGAACTCGCTGATGACTCGCCCGAGCGCATGCCAATCAAGCACTAACAGCTGCAACTGGAGCAAGTGAAAGATAGAGAGAGAGAGAGAGAGAGAGAGATTGAGTGAGCGGACTTTAGATACTCGACTGATGTTTCAATTGAAACAATTCTCTCTCAGCGATTGTGTGCGCCGAGCTCAGTGAGATCATAAATGCGGACAACTCAATGCGGGAGGCAATCGCAACAGAACCGTTCTTCAATCAATCTAAATACAGAAACATTACAGAAGAGATAAACAAAGACAGAGAGAGAGAGGGAGAGAGAGAGTGGAGGTGTGAGAGAGTGAAAGAGAGGGAACGAGTGATAAACAGGCAGAGCCGACAATGGCGATAAGTTGGGAACAAACGTACCCAAACCAACAAACAGGCGAAACAACTGTTAGAATCGATTCCTCTACTATATATGTGTATATATACATTTCATATTCATATTTATAATATTGATATGGTTTGTATGTATGGTTACATAAGAACTGGAAATTGATTACAAAATATTTCCACACAGCTGTTCCATTGGGAATGACACCAAAATAATAACCGTCACTTGTAAAAAAAAGCTACTCTACATATATAAATTTCTTCTTATTAAAATTTTATATTTTGTTCTTATTTAATTTTGTTCTTTATAGTTTAATTTTTTTCAGTGTATTGTAATTTGTCTGCCTTTGCACATTTATTCGTTACTAATTTACAACAATGTTTTTTTTTCATGTTCGGAAAACATTTGTCCAGCTGCTTAACAAATAACATATGCACATAAAATTTTATGTACGTATAATATTTATATATAGAATATATAGTTGCTTTTTGCTAGAAATGTTGTTCTCTTTCTTTCACTTACAACACATTTTTTGGCCATTCAATATTTGCCTATTCCATATTTGTTTTATTACCACTTTTCGCGTGATTTGGCTAATCAGCTAATGGCGCTCTGCATTTGCTTTGTTGACATTGGGCGGCAAATAGGACAACAACAATTTACATATTGAAAGCTCCTTGTGGCCTGCCTCCCCGCCCACAGCTCTGTGGCTGGCATGGCATTTGGGCCATCGTCGAAAAACTTTCGCTGGCGTTGGCCCAGTTGTGTTGTTTACGTGAAAACGTGCGCGTGAAACGCCGTCGTCGCCTCGTCAGCCATTTGGTCCAATGCGGATGCAGTGCAGCAGCAGCAGCAGCAGCAGCAGTAGCTGAGTTAACCAAGTCCAGTCCCAATCATGAAGTTCGCCGAGCATTTGTCGGCGCATATAACGCCAGAATGGCGCAAACAGTATATCAATTATGAGGTAAAAGAAAAACGCGCAAACTGTGTGCGAAAAATGAGAAGAAAAATATGTATCTCATAGATATATGCAAGCGTGTGCTTTTCCTAGCTGTCAGTTTCTCGGTGACGTCACGTGAGAAACGGCTGGCCAGCTGTCAAAAATGCCAAAGAGCTTTTAGCGTGCGGCTTCTACAGCGCATGCGCTCTGCTCGCTCCTCCATCGGGCATTTTGTTGTGGTCTCCTCAATCGTAAACAAACAAATGAGAGTGTAAGCATAACAGTGTGAGCGAAAAGCAGACGAACACAGTCGCCTGTAATTATTTACGTCTGTAAGCAAGCAAATGTGCATCTCATTTGTTGTAGAAAATAATACTGAAGATCATAAAAAATGGAAGAAAATTACCATCTATATTTAACAAATTATTCGCAGTTATTTGATTATAAAATAAGAGTTCAAAGCATAATAATTTGGCACACAAAATGTGCATACAACTATGGATTCAGTTCCAGACTTTTCTCTAAGTATTTCTCATGAGTATTTCCTCTAAGAGTTTCTTTAAGTGTTTGCTCAAATTGTTTCCTCTGTTTCATTTAATATATATTTCCTTGAAGCACTCTTAGTATTTCCTCTTAGTATTTCCTCGTAGTATTTACTCCAAGTGCTTCTTCCAAGTACTGTACGATCGGCCCCCACCAGGCCTGGGCGACTGAAGAAATGCTGTAGCTGCTGCCCTTTATATAGCGCACTGTCACTCACACACTGAGTCGCGCTCAATTGTTGAGCCCGACGACAGGCATGGGTCGCTGCAGCCGACCAATGGGAGCACTCTCTGCTCTCTCTACCAAATGAATACTGCTGCATACGTATAGAGAATATAAATAAATGATCGTCTGCAAATCTTCTTCGTCCCTTGCTCTTGTTATGCAGGCAGACAGAGAGACAAACTGTGAGAGGCAGACAGAGAGATATAATACAGAATACATACATAGGCAAACATAGGTAAATTGAATTACCTTATTACGCAGCTAAAGGATATACATATATTATTGATAGAGCTAAATGGTGATATTATTAAAAACTTATACTTGCGAGTAGTTCCTCGTGAACCGATACATACTTAAAAGCTATCGATAGCTTTTCAAATACTGATCAACTTATTCCCTTTGGTTGCAGGAAATGAAGGCAATGCTGTATGCCGCCATTGAACAAGCTCCTTCCGCGGAACTTGTGGATCGCGAGATGCTCACGCGCTACTTTGCCAAGTTCGACGAGGAGTTCTTCCACTATTGCGACAAAGAGCTGGCCAAGATCAATACGTTCTACTCGGAAAAGATGGCGGAGGCAACACGTAAATATGGCAGCCTGCGCAGCGAGCTCACCGAAGCACTGGAGATGGGCCATGTGAAGAAGCAACCGGCCTGGAAGCGACGCACACCGCTGGGCAAGAAAAATGTGCCCGCACGCAAAATACAGGATCTCAAGTTGGCATTTAGCGAATTCTATTTGGGTCTGATACTGCTGCAAAACTATCAGAATCTCAATTTTACGGGCTTTCGCAAGATACTCAAGAAGCACGATAAATTGCTCAGCGTGGATTACGGAGCACGCTGGCGCACGGATCATGTGGAGGCGGCGCATTTCTATACCAACAAAGACATCGATAGATTAATACAGGAAACCGAGCAGGCGGTCACACAGGACATCGAAGGCGGCGATAGACAGCGTATGCAATGGGACATATTGTAATATAATAATTATAATTAAAATATTGCCTTTTGCAGGTGCCATGAAGCGTCTGCGCGTTCCGCCGCTCGGCGAGCAGCAGAGTCCATGGACCACATTCAAGGTGGGCCTCTTTTCGGGCGCGTTCGTTGTGCTCTTGTTTACCGTCGTCATATCAGCCATGTTCTATGGCTTTGGTGAGAATTGGCGCGTTGGATTGCGCATGTTCCGAGCACCTTTTCTGATCACGGAATGCCTCTTCCTGTGGGGCGTCAATGTCTATGGCTGGCGCTCGTCGGGTGTGAATCATGTGCTCATCTTTGAGCTCGATCCACGCAATCATCTCTCCGAGCAGAACATCATGGAAATCGCCTCGGTGTTCGGTGTCATTTGGGCGTGCAGCGTGCTCTGCTATATATTCTGCGAGCCCCTGGGCATTCCACAGTACGCGGCTCCATTGTTCCTCTACACCTTGATGGTCGCCTTTCTGCTCAATCCCACAAAGACGTTTCACCACGAGGCACGCTACTGGGCGCTGCGTGTGCTCGGTCGGGTCATCATGGCGCCGTTTTGCTTCGTCAACTTTGCGGACTTCTGGCTGGCCGATCAGCTGAATAGCATAGTGCCAGCCTTCCTGGACATACCCTTTCTCATGTGCTTCTTTGGCCGGAATCCCACATGGCACAAAGCCGGCGAGGGTGAGTAATTGGGTTGGGTTTAAAGATATTCCACAATAAATTATGCTAATCAGCCTAAGAAATGAAAGTCCAAACCAAATAATGCAAAATAACTCTGCTCAAAGTACAACAAACCAAAATATATTTCATTAATATTAATTTCCGCTTCTATATGCCATGCCACAAAAATTATAGGCCGACTGGAACATACCCTGGAATGATGTGAAATTATACAATTGAGCCTTGGCTCTAAATTAGCAATATTAATGAAGTCCTCAAAGTATATTAATAACATGCAAATGAATAGTGCCTCAATTTGCATAAATTAGCCCAAAGCCCATTTTCCCTAAATTTCTGCTTTCAATGAGTAGAAAATTCACCCAAAATTTCCGTGAAATTTTATTCAAAACCTTGCAAAATGTTTAAGCAAAAGCTTTTATGAATTTCGTAAAATTCGCCTGTAATTGCATTTTAATTCGCGGAAAATGATATTAAAAATACAAATTTTCTCAGACATGGCTAGACATTAAGTGGAATACCACTTGGCCTTGGCTTAGGTGGGCTTTAATTTTGTTTTCTTTCATTAGAATAACATTCTTCGTTCTCCTGCTTGTTGGTTCCTCTTAGCTGGCAATCACTGTGTGCAGCAAATATCCATTCTGCATCCCATTGTGGCCATTCTGCCGGCCTACTTTCGCTTTGCCCAGTGCATACGACGCTATCGGGATACGAGGGAGTTCTTTCCACATCTGGTGAATGCTGCCAAATATGCGACGTCCTTCTTTACGGTTATTTTCGCCCATAAATATCACACGACAACGGGTGAGTAAGTGAAGGCGACAGGCCAATGCCAATGCCAATGGCAATGCCAATGCCAATGGCAATGCCAACAACTGAGCATGTTGTTTATCTGTTGGCCAATTAGCGTTAATTTTCATGCGGTCAAGTGCTATAGAAATTGGCTGTTCATTTTATTTGTCACTTGAGCATGTCGCAACTGGGCTAATAGTGTAATGCATATGCCCGCAGATAGCTATCCGCTGTCGAAGGAGAATCCTTGGTTCTACTGCTGGATAGTCTCGGCATTGTTCTCCTCGTGCTACGCCTACACGTGGGACATCAAAATGGACTGGGGCCTGTTCGATGCGAAGGCGGGCGACAATCGATTTTTGCGTGAGGAAATTGTTTATTCATCGACGGTGAGTCGGAGTCCGGCTCGCAGGGGCTAATGGCCGCCATAAATATTTGGGCAAGCGAGCAGCACGTAAAACAATCATTCAACTCCTTCCCTCTCTCTTTCTCTCTCCTTCTCTCTCTCTCTCTCTCTCTCTCTGTTTGGCCTCATCTCTAATTCCTTTCAGTGGTTCTATTACTTTGGCATTATTGAGGATTTAATATTGCGCTTCAGCTGGACGCTGTCGATGAGCCTCATCCAGGCGGGCTATATCGAGGGCGATGTTATGATGACCATTCTAAGTCCACTGGAGGTATTCAGGCGCTTCATCTGGAACTACTTCCGCCTGGAGAACGAGCACTTGAATAACGTGGGCAAGTTTCGGGCTGTGCGCGATATATCAGTGGCGCCCATGGACTGCTCAGATCAGGTAGCTGCAACCAGCCCGCACTCTGGTTACACTTTTTGTCTACATATATATTTATAAATACTTTGTGTTTATGCCAACAATAGACCACAATTTTGCGCATGATGGATGACCCGGATGGCGTTATCAACCGTAGGCGGGGCAAAGCCTCGGGCGGCAAATCTGGCAACAAGAAGAACAAACATGAGCAGCAGAGATTGCTGCTGCAGGGCGAATCCGTTGAGGACCTGTGTGCATAGAGCACAGCTCGCGGCTTATCAACTCAATGTGCGCAAATATTAAGTATACGTAAATGTATAAGAAATAAAACATCAACAAAAGTTAGTCTCTTGGTACGATGGACTCCGGCTGGGGCTGTGGAGCGGCACGTAAGCCACATTCAATTGAATCCCCAACGAAAATGACGTGAATCAACTACTCTGATGAGCAGGACGTGCCAATGAGTTTATCGTGCGATGCACCCACACAATGTGGCCAGCAGCAACAGCACGTTTCATGCGACATTATTTTGTGCACATTTTAAACAACTTTGTAGTCTTAGCCACAATTGTTGCCAACTATTAAAAGCGGAGTAGCGAGTGTGGAGTACTCGACTTTGTAGACATGCTGAAGGTATTCAAGTATTCCAGAAATTGGCTTAAATTATTCAGATCTAGCTTATCTGACAAGCAGCTCAGTCACAGTGGCTTTCTTCTAACCTCTCACATAGGCATTTCACTCTGCCTTTCATTCATTTCAAATGAGTTCCTGGTATTATTGTTAAGCCAACATCATTATTTGAGTCTGTTTAAATTGGATTTGCCATGCCACACATATTCAGATCATTTCAATCTAATTTTGTTGCAAGCACATTGAACTGAATGAATTCGTGAATGCAGAAATATGGTTTACATGCGCAAACTAATATAATTCGCGAACCTAATTAAAACGTTGGCTGGCAGTGGGATTTTTTACACACGGAAAGGTGAACCTTGCTAAAATAATAATCGAATAATGCAGAGAGCCAAGTCGTGTCTAATCATAAATCTATTAGTGCAAATATAGATGCATGCATGTGTATGTATGTATATATGTTGATACATGTATACATAAATGAGGCACATATGCATGCGTATACATACATACAAATACACATTCGTCATATGTATACCTTGGTAAGTATTTATAATTATTGATTTGTATATATGTATGTGCATATGAAACGAATATACATACACAAATGTACATGGTATATACATACATATAAAATACAAAAAGTGCATAATGACAAAAAAAAAAAAAAAACATTCAAATATATTTAATTTATTGTACGAAACCACAATGCATAATTTTGCTTGTTTACAAATGTTTTTGTTTCTCACCTTGAACCCATTGACAATTGGAAATAAGGGTATAACAGTTTGGCTAAAATGTATGCCATAGGCAGAAGTAGGCGTGGCAGACGAAGTGAGTCGGCTTAGCGTAAATCTTAAAATTCATCAGAGCTAGCGACTGGGAATTTTTGTTTCAGGTCATATCTTATCAATAACTAGTCTCCTTTCTCTCTTTGCTTTCCTCCATCTTTGCAGCAAAATTCACCGAATTTTACATTTAAGATATATGTGTATATTATACAATTTAAATTTTAGATTTTGGATACCGGCTCTCATTTTAAGGTCAAATACAAATATAATTATTATTATTTTTTTTATATCTATGATATTCAATTAAATATGTAGATGATATCTGAAAGTTTTATATTAAATCCGTCGAATCAACGCGCGTGGCAGCAGCAAGAAGAATTTGTTCATACGCGCGCAAGCTTTCATTAAAAATTAACAATTGCGCGGATTTTTTATTTAAAATATTATTATTTTTTTTGTTCCTTTTTTGATTTGTTTCTCTTCTATATATTTATTTGCTTCTGTCTGATAAGCATGCCATTATTTTATTTTATTTATTTTTTTTTTACTTTAAGAGCATTCAATTTAATTTATTATATTTTTTTTTTTGCAAAAACATTTTTCGTGTTTCCTACCAAATCTATTGTTTATAGTACATTTGTACATTTGATTGCAATCAGCTCGAAACAGAAATATTTATTATGCGAATCAAACAAGATTGCGTATGCAAAGTCCAGTGCAGCGCCATAGATAAGCCAGGGGGCCCACCTCGCTTTCTCCCCCTCGAATTAAATCTATTTCTAGATTGGCTAATCGCTGAATTTGCTATCTACATTCAAAGAGCTAAACACGCATTAGAGAATTTAAAAGCAAACGAAATGCTGATAAACGAAACGGCAGGCGATTTTGGCATATTTTCTATTTAATCTGAATCTATAGGTATGTATTTGCCCAGGAGACAAGGCTCAGGGGCCGATGACAATTTTACGTGTTGTCTTTAAGCCTGGTCACAGTTGCTTTTATTTGATGTTGATTGATGGATTTCAGCACGTTCCATTTCACTGCCTCGATTTTTATTGAATGCTCGTTAGCCATTGCAATGGGGTGTATTTGTGTGTTGTGAAGAGGATATTGAATAGATAAGGGCACATGCAGAATAGTTTTACTATATTCCACATTATATTACTTAAAGTTAGTCAAGCTTAAATTATAATAAAACATGTAATTCACTTTTAATATCCATGAAATCGAGTTTAATGGTCATTAATGTATAAATATGATTATGCAATAGAGCATTTATAAGTATAATATATATTTCAAACTCACGAGCAGGTATTATGCACATAGACAAACTCGACTGCAACGTTCTCACTTGTTTATACATAATATATATTAAATGCCTATTCATATTCATCTATATGAAGCGTTTGCCTTTTGTGATTGATTTTGATTCATTATTTATTTATTTTGTGGTATTAATGATTCAGTTGATGGCAACTAATTGAGTTTAAATAATATTGTTTGTGATACAATTAAACACATAACAAATTAAGCAAATCACAAAAATTGGTATTTAGATTTCCTAATGGCTTGAATTGAAAATAATACTGTTCATAATTCAAGTAAATACCAGGTGAATTAAATTATTTTTATTTAATATTGGTTAATTTTCGTTCTATTGTTCATAATTCAAGTAAATCCACAGCATACAAAATTACTTGTATTTAATTTTCGTTCTAGTTGAAGCGGAATCTTTTAACAGATTTCCATGATGCCACAGTCAGTGCATAATTTACACGAAAGTTTTTTTTTTATTGTTTAATTGTTGCAAGGGAAGTTGACTTCAAAAGTTTTGCAAAAGTTTCAAGTTCCCAACTTTGTGCGAGAGTAAACTGCAAACTATTTTCAGCTGTGCTGTAATTTGATATACACTTTACTTACAGACATTCAATCCGTGTCCCGCCACACACCACGGCGTATGATTGATTTGTTATTGATTTCTAATTCAGTTTAATGGCCGTCATTACTGTGGAAAGCGAGCATATTACGACCATTAAGTGTGACTAATCAAATTATGATGGCAATTTAAAGGAATTTGCCCATCGACAGATTTTTAAAGTAAGTTATATATTGTATTTACGGTTAGCTTGTCAGTTTTCACATGCGCCTGCATAACCTGCACTTGTGGGACTTTGGGCACAGCTTTGGGGGCAAAAAATGCAAAAGTGAATGCTTGATTACGAATTTGCATCGCTTTGCTTTAGTTTTTTCTATGTAAAAATTTCAATTTACTCTGGCCTGAACACGAAGAACTTGAAGAGTCATAAGCTGGCAAGCGAGGGCACTCTGAAGAGCGAATGGTACATGGAAAATAACAAATTGCAAATTAATTATTTTTATTAGGGCTGCTGAAGGCTTAGTTGCTGGGGAACGCAAGAAAAATACAGCTAGATTTTAGCATGAGATTTTTTTTCATTTATTTATTTTTGATAAGGCTATTATGTAGAAGGGTTGGTTGGCAAAAAAATGGGTGGATGAACAATGGTATAATACTCGTTTGGGGCCGCACTCAATGTTGGTTTGAGGTAATGGGCTGTAAATGGAAGATATAAAATACAAAAAATATACATAGACTATTCAAATGCTTTACTGTTAAGCAAATTTTTTGAAGACTTTAAATTTGAATCAGATGAGTTACTCAAATATTCCAAAGAACAACTTGCGAAACCAATATGCCCTTTTGCACAGCATAGACGAGTATAAGTAAAAAACAAACTGAAACACGAACCGAAGCAAATCATTTTTGTGAAAGTAGCTAAAATACCAAGGGAAAAGGGTAGTAAAAAAGCTTATTAGAAAAATATATAATTTTATTTGGACGTATTCTAAAGAAGTTTTAGCCATGTCAGATTTGGTTATGCGCGCTAAGCTGACATTTGCTTTGAAGAGATGCAGGCACTTGGCTGGACACAGGATATGCCTTAGTCGAGCACTCTTGGGCAGTATAATTTGTGTTTTTTTTGGTTTCTTTTTTTTGTCCTGTTTCGGCATTTGCATCGATGGCCAACAGCTGAAGGCGAGCGCCTTTTTTAAAGCCCTTGGGCGTTGACTCAAAAGCATTAGATAAGCAGGCAATTTTAAGTGTTTTTATTAGGCTGTGCGAGTGTGTGTGTGTGTGGGTGTGTTTACTTAAATGGCGTTGTCAACAGTTAACAGCGCTTTTAACTCAGCTGGCAGTTTGTCAGATGAAACAGTCGGATAAGCATTTGCTTAAGGCGGTGCAAAGGGTTGCCTGGGCTTTAACTTGCCGAGATGTTATTTGCACTTTGCCCGGCGGGTGAGTGTGGATATGGATATGGATATGTGCACATGCCTATGGCTTGCTGGTTCTCGGAAAGGGTAAAGTGAGCAATAACACATTTGCAAGTTATGCTTGACTGGCACACATAGCATATGGCAAGCTAAGCAATATAAACCTAGGTCAATATCAATATCCGAGAAGTTTACCAAAGGCAAACCGGTATATGCCGCTGCTAGCAACTCCATATTAACAGGGTATCACAGGTTGTGCTTATTAAAAAGTTGCGAAGAAGTTCAAAAACTTTATGGAAAACTTTACTCGCATGACAACAATAACTTTGCGTCACTTATCTTTCATAACTCTGCAATTACAGGGTATCACAGGTGTTGCACATTAGGTAAGGGCTTCAACATCACTGAATGCCACATAGGTCAGCAATTACAGGGTATCAAAGTCTTAAATCTGTGCCCAACTAACGTTTGTTCGCATCTGTGCTTTGAGGCTCTTTTATTGCTGTTTTGTATGCGGTTCGCCATGAAGTTTTGACACGTACTTCTGAGGGTTTCTTTGCTGCTGTGACAGCAGATTTTCATTGATTTGACAAGCACACAGACATACCTATACACCCAGACATACA